TGTGTTGGTTCCAAGCTGCCCTGTGCTTAAGGGGAACACTCCACATTCCTCTTGAGTGAGTTCCCAGAAACACAGTTCCTGGGAATCAAAGTTCCCAGAGGCACCCACATTCTGTGCCCATCTAATGAGCCAAGTTCTAGAACCTTCTGAAACACAGACTCCCCAGACTGATGTTGGAGAAGTTTCTGTTTCTCTGTGACAGGCAGACAGAACAGATCCGGTATGTGACATAATCCAAGCACACTGCTGTGTGTGTGTCCAATGCTCCTTATGAACCATAGTCCATGCAGGCACACTTTCCCAGCCACGGGGTGGAAACTGAACCCCATTCCTCAGCTCACTTTGTGCAAACACTTCAGTCACAAGCACATCCCAATTTAGAAACCAGAGCATCTGGTCCAGTGACAGATCACAGCTCCCAGTCTGACTCTGGTGTCAACTGTCTCTGTTCCCCCCAGTTAAGACCTGTGGGAGAGCGCAGCAGGGGTGGAGAGGAGGGCCAGGTCCTTCTCTACTTCTCCTCCCCTGCAAGTGGAGGGGTCTCCCATCAGCCACCATCATCCTGCCTGGCTTCCAGCAGATATTTAAGACCACCTTCCTTTGCCATGGTCTCTAGGGAGACAGCTGGGGCTGGGAGATCCCTCTCATCCTTGGGGGTGCACATCCCCCGCTGGGGCTCCCTTTCTCAGCTCTCTTTTGTTGTCACCACTTTTCCCCTCCAGGCGGAACTGCCAGACAGGACCCAAGCTGACCCCTGTGGTGCACCCTTGTGGGTACTGCCCACCTGCAACAGGTGGTAGGACACACACAAGCAGCCTTTGCTAGGGAATGCCTGGAGTGGGAGCTGACAGGTCCCCCACACTGTGACTCCTCTACAAGGGCAGCCAAACAGCCCATGTCCCCGGAGGCCCAGAGCCTCCAGGTGTCCCTGTCCACGTCAGTCCCTAGGACCATACAAATAACAACAACAACAAAAAAGCCACAAGTTTTCTGTGATCGTGGGCATATTTTAGCCACTGTAAGCTTTGGCCTATGCTTCAGCAAAATGACTGCCAGTTGTTGGCCCAGAGCTGTCAGGAAGTGTAGTGCCAATCACACCCACCTCACCGAACCTTCGTTTTCTCCTAGCCTGGATGCAGTGACAATCCCAACCCGCTGGGGTTAACTGTGGGGTTAAGAGACACAGAGAATTTCACAGAGCGGTGTAAGATCAGACATGCTGGAGTTCCTCAAACACAGACTGGCGACTCTGTCTCCATGTGGCTATTTCCAAATGACTGTGCCTCTCCCTGTGTGCACCCCATCCCATAGCATCTGTGCGGGGCTGTTTGAGTTAATGGGCTTCAGGGCCCGGCTCCATGCTGGGTGCTATGTTTCACAGCAGAGGGGGGCTGGGCAGGGCTCTGCAGCTGCTATAGACAGCCAGATGAACACAGCTGGGGAGGGGAGACCGCCCCAGGAGAGACCCTGCTTTGGAAATGTTTCAGCCTGGCTGGAATCCAGGGTTCTGGAACACAGGACAGTCTGTCCCTCTTGGCTGCCATGCTGATTCAGGTTGAGAAATCAATGTGTGACCACAGAGCCCAGCTGGACACGGCTTCTCCCCCTCCCCTGCACTGGGTGCTGGCAGGCTCTGTTCTAGGTCCTGATTCCAAGGCCTGTGAGCACAAGGCTGGCATACCAAGAAACGCGAGTCTCTGGCTCCCAACGCCTGCCAGGTTCAAGGGTCACAAGTTTCACCTGACCCTCTGCAGCGTGGAGTCAGGCTGCCCACTGCTTGCCAAGCCTCCAGCTTCCTTGACCCTGGTCTGGACACTTCTCAAGCCAAGCCAAGCTCCGGGCCATTTGTTGGGCAACTTGTGACCTCGGTCTGGATCAGTCCCAGCAGGTGAACACAGTTTAAGTGTATAGAACATTTTGTTTTTCCGAATTCCGAGAGCCAACAGATGAACCCTCCACAGCTTCCATTCAGCCCCTCCCCCCACCGTCCACCCCTACTCCCACGCCACTTACTTAATCTGTAACTTTGGGCCAGTTCTTCACCTCCCTGAGTTCCCAGCTTTCCCAACCATCCCGTGGAGATTAACAAGTACCTCCGCCACGAGGGCAGTCTCGAGACTCGGGAGGAGTGACAAGTTGACAGGCACTCAGTGTTTGTGCACATGCATGCTGCATACGTGTGTGCAAGCTGTGCTTGGAATGTGGATTCGCATGTCCAGGGAAGGAATGACAGGTGCACATGGTGGCAGACACTCAGCAAATTAGTGTGTGTGTGCGCGTGCCTAGGGGTGCATAAATGGCTTAGTGTCCCTCCCCAGGCTCGTGTGTCAACGGCTTGGTCCCAGTGTGGTGGCGTAGGAGGTGAGAGTAGGACCTGGGGGAGACGTCGGGGCACTGTCCTCTGGCGACTTCACAGAAGGAATGAACAAATTTCTCTTGACTCTCCTGAGTTCCTAAAGAGGGCTTGTGCCGCAGAATAAATCTGACCCTTCCCCCTCTCCATCTTCCATCCCACCACGGGCTCTCTCCCAGAAGGTAACTTGTGAATCTCCCATACCACGTACCCCGTGCTCCATAAACCCCTCTGCTGGTGCTCAGACTTGGGTACTTTGCTCTAGCCACAGAAACCAGATTAACACAGGGAGTTGTTATTGCCAACAGGGCCTTTAGCCACCAAATAGAAAAACGTCTGGCATCTTCACTGTAGCAACTGAGACCCCAAGAGGCAGACAGCCTGGGCTCCAAACCTGTGCAGCCAGGGGCAGCCTTGCTATGCAGCTACTTGGGTTCTGAGGACTCCGATTCGACGCACTGGGACTAGTGCCTGGCACACAATGATCGCCTCAGAAGCATCAACTTTGTTTCACTAGTTCCTTGAGTTAGCCACGGCAGTGACGGTGAATGTGGGTGAGGTGGCACGGTTCACAGGGGAGTGAATGAGCACCTACTGTGTACCCACCTATGTCCAGGTACACATGTATGACCATGGATACATACTGGGATCACACACAGGGACACATGCAGATACTTTCTCTTTCATTTTTTAGAAAAGCAAAACCGGATGTGGGATCCCACCAAGGATGACTGACTAGAGCTTGAAGAGTTTTTTCTCTGCAAACAGCCTTGCAACCACCACCCGGCTCAGGAAACGCAACTTTCCCAGGTTCTGCAGGAGCTCCCTAACCTCTCCTCCCCCCACTAGCCGTGTGCCACATCTCAATCACAAACCTCTCGGAAGGAACTCTAATCTGACTTCTACAGCATCTATTTCTTTGCATTTCTTTACTGCTTAACTATCTGAATATGCAGTCTCAGTTTTCCACACCTTGAGACTTTTGAGCCTCTTTTGACCTACAGCTTTCCTCCTCTGGCGGTTTCTTCTTTTCCTTGCAGCTTATCTGCTGAAGATTGCAGACTGCGTGACCTGCAAAGTTTGTGAAGGGCTCGGTTCTGTTATTGCCTCCTCATAATACATTACAACATGGCACATCCTGCAAATTAGCAACTGCCTCAGACGCAGGTGCTATGTTTTTGGCGCATCGATAGGGGGCGCCGGAGATCACTATTTAGATATTAACTGCCACTGTAGATGAGCCATGAGGTCATCCGCGGCCAGTGGCCGGCAACATTGTCTCTTTTTTTTGTTTTTATACACTGGCTGTAACAATGTTAATACTTTTGTTTTTGCTCAGTGCCACAACTCATATAGGAAAGGCAAGAAACATACCTGATTGTGCTTCTTCTTCTTTCCCATACCATCTTCAGGGGGTCAGTTAGCGGCCCAGCTCAATATCCTCACAATTCAGAAATTTAGCTGTGTTTGATGATTTCCAAGCCATCACAGGTATCCTCTTTGTGGGAGCTGAAACGGTCCCATTTCAACAGGGTGGTGTGGGTAGTCCCCCTTCACCCTTTGCCACAAGAGCTGCCACTGACTAAGCTCTGGTTACCTGGCAATAGCATCATTTAATTGGCTTTCTGATCATAAGATGCTCCAGGTTTGGGGAGTTTGAGTACTTTGGACAAGGCCACCCAGTTGGTTTTAGGGTTATCAGATTTGGGCAGGCCAAAGGGTGGCCTTTCTCCAGGTCATCATCCCAATATCTGGAGCCCATGAATAACTTATATTAACAAGGCAAAAGGGATGGTGCTGTGATGGTGAACCAAGGGGCTGGAGGTAGTAAGAGATTGTCCAGGAGGGGCCAGGTTAACTCGAGGCATCTTGATAAGAAGGCGTCTAGAGGATCAGTCAGTGTCAGACATGACCGGAAAAGCAAGAGGGTGAAATGCTCTGGGGACGGGCTGTGAGGTGAGAGCTGCCAGGGCAGGCGGGGGCGGAGGAGGACTTCCACCTGCTGAGAAAGGCAAGCAAGTGGATGCCCCCAGGAGTCCCCAGAAAGGACGCCACCTTGCCAACCCCTTGACTTCAGATTTATGACTCACAGAGCCGTAAGAGAACACATCCGTGTTATTTCCAGTCAGGAAGCTGTGACAGAATTAACAGGAAGCGAGTGCAAAAGCTTTGCCAGAAACAGAAGCACCTGGAAGCCCAGTGCCGTTTGATTTTCTGATAAACAAATTTGAAAGCATCAGTGTGTCCCAGATGTTACAAAAAAAACCTTTTTGTACTTTTAAAAGAAGAAGAAGCTGTCGTTTAAAGGAGGAGTACATGTAATGGAGGGTTTGCTGTGTTCCCTGGTAATTTAAAAATTATGGAGCTGAAAACAGCTGCAGGGTCAGAACTTGGCACTCCCAGGCCCCCGCTCCTTGCCCCTCACACAAAATCTAGCTCGTGGCAGAAACTTGTGGGTGTTTGTGGCCCTGTGGGTTACCTGCTGCAAAGCGACCTTGCCCAGCAGCTCCCGCTCAGCAGCCCTGTGCCAGCCCAGAGCCCGCAGCGCGCAGTCCCGAGCGCCAGAGGGCGCCAGAGAGCCGGTCTCGCGGCAGGTGTCACACATGCGCACTCCCGGCGCCGGCACGCCCTGTTCGTCACTTCCGGCGCGAGGGGCCGGACCGGCCGGGCCGGGAGTGCGGGTCCGTGCTGTGCGCGCTGCCGACGAGGCTCCCGCCGCCGAGTGACCCGCGCTCCGCCCCCGCAGCCGGGCCGGTGAGTGCCCGCGAGCCCAGCCGTGTACCGTGCGGGCCGAGGAGGGAGACCCCCGCCCCCCAGAGGGAGGAGTCACCGGAAGTGGGGAACGGGAGACCCCAGGAAATGGGGACGCCTGGGGAAGGGGTGACACCCGGAAGGTGGTGCCCGCAATGAGAGGGCCGAGGCTTGTGCAGAGAGGGCGTGCTGACCCCCGGTTTGGGGGAGAGTGGCGGGGCGCCAGGTGCCGGGCTGCAGGTGGGGCCCATGCCCGGCTTCTCCTCCGTGTGGGGTCGCAGGACGCTGCGGTGGCGGGTGGAGGTGACAAGTCCAGGTGGGGCTGGCCCGCTAGGTGTGCACCCCTGCCGTGTCTTGTCAGCTCCCCTTTGCCCCCTGGACACTGCCCTGTACCAGGCACAGGGGACACCACCGTGAACGTGACAAGCAGGTACCCGACCCTCCTGAGATGTGCATTGCCTCAGTGAAATGGGAGCAGCCCTAGTGTTGTCACCACATGTAGGGACAGGCAAATACGAACACACGAGGTGCCTGCCTAGTAGAGCAGTTGACAGGTGGTGAAATACGCAGGTCCCTGTTCAGGGCTAATGGCAGCTTCCCTGTGGGCAAGGAATGATGTGTGTGGCTGGGAGCATGCGCCTGACACGCTTGGGAGGGGATCGGGACTAGTGTGCTCATGGGATGGGGGTGCCGAGGCATTTCCTGTAAACACCCACCACGCACTGGGCTGCCGCAACAAACAGATAAACAGGAGCCCAGAGCTGAGGAAGAGGAGGGACTCCGCTGGAGCAACCAGGGAGGGCTTCACCGAAGAAGTGATCTTGTGGTTAGGACCTAATAGGAGCACATTGTCTGGTTGGGGACCAACAAGTTCCAGGCAGAGGAGAGCAGGTACGGGAGGTACCCAGAGAAGGTTGGGGCGTTAGCTTTAGGCTGGCAGGGAAGCCTGGTGGCATAAGTCTCCCTGGTTGGAATGACAAATGTCTGTGGGTGTTGTCCCTCCCTCAGCATGCCACCCCTCCAAAGCAGCTTCAGCCAGGTAGTGTTTATGGAATGCAGCCCGTGGGCCTGACACCATGCTGGTTGCTGCATTAAAGGTGATGAAAGAAGCACAAGTGGGTGCTGTCATGAGTCGCCTCTGGACAACAGTGCCGGAGTCGGGGAGAGCCATGCCCAGGAGCCCCCTCCCCCGGGCCTGTTGGCCTCGGGCTCTCCCCGTCTCTTGCTTGCATCAGTGCTGTGGTCTCTAGGTGGTCTCTGCTGCTTCTGTCTTCACGCCCTCCCCACCCAGCCTCAAGACAGCACACAGTTCTGAAAGAGAAAGCAGACCATGTCCCTTCTTGAAAACCTTTCACGGCTCGCTCAGGGTACAAGTCCAAGTTCTTACCGGCCTCCAAAACCCTGGCCGTCAGGCCTCCGCGGCTTTTGGCTTCATCTGCCAAGTATTGCCCATCCTGATCCTCTGGCTCTGCCCACTCAGCTCTGTCTACCAGGGAGCCGGGCGTGTTCTTGCCTCCGCTTTGCACTTGTTCTTTGCTCAGATGTGCATGGCTTGCTCCCTTGCTTCTTCATCACTGCTCAAAGCTCTCCTGAGTGAAGCCACTCCTGGCCGCCCTATGAAAATTGGAGCCCTTCTCCCTAGATTCCTGCAACCCTGCTCTCGGCTTTGCTTCACTACCCGGCATTCAGTACCTTGCAGTAGATGACATTGTTGGCTTTGCTTGTGCACTTGTTTCTCCTACTAGACTCGAAGTCCCAGGTTTGGGAGAGGGCTTCAGTGTTTGTTGAGTGAATGACCTGGCATGCAATCGGGTCTTCAGGATGCGTTAGGGTTGGTCAGGTGAAGAGCTGGAGGAAGAGCATGCGGCTTACGGGACATAGGGTGTGCGCAGGATGAGAGAGCATGCCGGAGCAAGTGGGAGAAGCTGGGAGCAGGGCAGGCCGACCTAACATTTGGAGAAATGACCCAGTCACTCGATGCAGACCGGGAGGATCCTGGGGCTGCAGTCAGGACGTGGTGTGTGGGGATCCCCAAGAAGGCGGCCTGCTGTCCTTGTTGAAGTCCGGGTATCAGTGGTAGCCACAGGCTTGTGTGTGTGCTTTGCAACTCAGCTGTGCTGCTGGGGCATCTGCAGTGGCTATTTGGATTCGTTTTCCGTTCAGGAAGTGTTGGGTGAGATTACACTTGTAGGAAACACCAAAGGCAACACCTGTGGAAGACAAGAGGGAGGGTGCAGAAGTCAGAAAGAGCCCTGGTCTGCAGCCATGGCTGCCCGTTAGAGGAGCCCAAGTCTCACCCCGTCATTGGCTGGCAGTGACCTGTGCAAAGTGGTTCTAGGGGGACGTAGCTGAGGCCATTTGTCAGTGATGTGTCCCAGCAGCAGGCCTGCCCAGTGCATTTTTGTGGCGGCCAGAGAAGTGACTTGGGTCTGTGGTGTAAAGCATTCCAACAGTCCAGTCAGGAAGATCTGCCTAATTTCCTTTTCATGACTGAATAGTATCCACTCACATGGTAATCTTATTTAACCAGTGCTGTACTGATGTGTGCTTTAAAGGATTCCAGTCTTTTATCCTCAGCATTAATACTTGTACTGGCTGTGTGCAAATTGTACTCATGAATACAAGTATAGGTACCAGAAATGGAATTGCTGAGCCAAGGGATATGTGGGATGTTTTTAGACTTTTAATGTAAGAGCCAGAGAGTTTCCATCCATTGAGTCACTCCCCACGATGCCCACAGAGGCCCAGGGTGGGCTGGGCTGCAGCTCAAATCCAGGAACTCGGTCATCAGAGGCCTTACCACTGCCTCCCCGGGCCTGATTAGCGGGAAGCTGGGATCGGGAGTTGAAACTCAATGCCAAGTAAGACACATGCACAGTGAGTAGGTGGGTATAACTTTTGATAGGTATCAACAAGTTGCCCCCCAAAAAGGCTGAATGCCCTGATATTCCACTGGCAGCAAGCATGGCAGAGTGCATATTGCCACAATCATTCTGAATCTCATGTTGTTTTAATTCCCACATCTTGGATGAGGAGTCACGTCAAGTACCTGTCACATTTCACGCTAGCCAGGTGAGGGATGTGCCCATCGGCCATCACTGCCTGAGCACTGACAAGATTTTCTTATTTGTTTATTTGAAAGGCAAAATGACAGGGAGAGAAAAAGAGGTCCTCTGTTCACTTGTTTACAACCAGGGCTGGGCCATGCCAGATCCAGGATCCAGAAAATCCATCTGAATTTCCCACACACTTGGACCCTCTTGTGCTGTCTTCTCAGGTAGATTAATAGGGAGCCAGATCAAAAGTGGAGCAGCCAAGACTCAAATTGGTTCTCCAGTATGGGATACCTGGGTTACAAGTAGCAGCTGATCGCACTGCACCACAACAGCAGACCCTTCGACAAGATTCCAACTGTAGTCACAACTAAGGCTTGACCTAACTCCATCCCCTGGTTCGGAGCCCCTGTTCTGAGGCCACTGGGTTTGGCCACAAGTGTCCCTGCTGCCCTGGGGTTTGAGAAACGCAGTGCTAGGCTGTAACAGTACCTCCTGGGACTTCTGTGTTGGCAGGGACCCTGGTGGCTCATGTCCGAAGAAAGCGACTCTTTGAGAACCAGCCCTTCTGCGGCCTCCCTCTCCGAGAATGAGCTGCCCGCCCCGCCTGAGCTGCCCGAGCCACCGGGCTACGTGTGCTCGTTGTCTGAAGAACTGGTCGCCAAGGCCCGGGAGGAGCTCCAGGAGAAGCCTGAGTGGCGACTTCGGGATGTGCAGGCCCTCCGGGACATGGTGCGGAAGGAGTACCCAACCCTGAGCACAGCTCTCGATGATGCCTTCCTGCTACGCTTCCTCCGAGCCCGCAAGTTCGACTACGACCGGGCTCTGCAGCTCCTAGTCAACTATCACAGCTGCCGGAGGAGTTGGCCCGAAGTCTTCAGTAACCTGAGGCCATCAGCCCTGAAGGACGTCCTGGCTTCAGGGTTCCTCACCGTGCTGCCCCACACTGACCCCCGGGGCTGCCACGTCGTCTGCATCCGCCCAGGTATTGGGAGAAGGGAGGGAGTGTCTCCAGATTGTGTCTGTCCATCCAGTATTCCCTTTTTCACCCCTGCTTATTTGAGTCAAAGTGCTCGGGGCTGCAGGTGACAAACCAACTCAAGCCCAGTGTGAGGACCCAGCAGTATTTCTCAAAACCAGAGGGTTACACATGGAGCAGCCCTTGTGTGGGGGGAACTAAGATGGCGAAGTGCTGGGAGCTAGGAAGGCTGTCTCTGTGTTTCTCTGCCACCTGTTGCTGTCCCACTCTGCTTTTCTTCTTTAGAATAGTTGAAAAATGTTTTTTTAAATTTCCCTTCATTTTACTTGAAAGGGGAAAAGAAAAAGAGAGATACCTTCCATCTGCTGGTTCATTCCCCAAAGGCCTGTGACAGCCAGACCACAACCAGGAGCCAGAATTCTACCTGAGGGTCTCACTGGATGGCAGGTCTCTTAACTCTTGGCTCCATCACCTGCTGCCCCATCCCCCCAAGGTGTACACTGGCATTGGTGTTAGGAAACTGAATTGGAAGTAGAGCCAGGACTTGAACCTGGCATTCCAGTAAGTAATTCATCCAAGTATTGCCTTTGCCACTGCACCAACCGCTTGCGCCTGCAGACTGGCTTTTGTACCTCTGTGTGTAGAGGAATCTGTCACCCTCAGCTCTCGTGTGCACCTGGCCACCCAAATTCTGGTCTCTAGAAGAAAGAATCTGAGGGACCTGCCCCTGGTCACAAGGTACAGTTTGGTGACCGGGACGCTCTTGTCCCTCCTGTGGGAGTAGAGGGAGGGGCAGATGATAGCTGCAGGCTGGGCACCTGCTCTCTGCCTCCTCTCCCCCTTCTTTTGCTGTCTGAAGCCACTGGGAGGATTCACTCTAGATCCCTTTTTAGATTCCAGCTCCAGGTGCCAGGACACCTTCATTTGGCCACTAGCCTGGGGCTGGGGGAGGCTCCCCTCAGAGAGCATTCAGAAATGGGACATAGGACCTTGGAGAATGTCAGAACTCCAGCTCTAGACCCTTGTCCTGGGCCCTCCTATGACATCAAATGCACTGTCAGCTGAGGCATGTCCCCCAGACCTTTTGCATCGGGCGGAGCTGAAGAAACCACTGGAAGGCAGAGTGTGGTGTTCTTCACCAGCAAGCCAGAAACGGAGAAAGTACTGGCAGCTCTCCTTTGCCTTTGCTGACAAACCGCCCAGGGGAAGGCAGATACCTTGGTGTGCCCCCTGAACCCATGAGCCCCACATCACTGTTTCCTTGAGTCACCCACCACACCCTCTCAATGGTTGAACCTGTCTCTTCAGCCCTGGCTGCACACCAGGCACACAGCTAAGGGCCTCACCCACTCAGGTGCTCTCCCACGTTAGCTGGCATTTATTTTAAAATAAGCAGTGCAGTCCACATTGCAGGAGAACGAGACGCTGGATGCCAGCCAGTGCAGTGCTTGTACTGCTGTCCCTGTCTTCTGCTCATGAGAAGATTGCAGAACAGTCAGCTGTTTCTACACTGGGCACTCTGCTTTGCTCATGGGGTAACTTCCTCTCCACCTTTGTCTAGAGCAGGTCTGGACTCTCCATCGGCCCAGCTTTTTAAGGGGAGGAGTCCATAGCCTTTGCCCTGAACTGGGTACCTGCAGAGACGTGTGGTAGAAAGGGTTGGGATCCTTTATGTGGTGGTAAGACAGCAGCAGCAGCAAACAGCCGGCTGGAGCCATTTGTGCACTAGAGTTTTCATGGGGATTTTGCACATTATGTATCCCTGTTCAGGGGCAAACTGCAAGTTTTCTTTTCCTAAAGCAGGGATAGATACATGGATCTTGGTGGGATTTTCTTGAGATGGACAGTTAACACCCCAAAGTTGCCCATTTTATCTTCCCTCCCCAGAGAAAATTAAGGATCTTTAAGTAAACTGGGAGTATTGAGGGAGCATCGCCCTGGAAAGGAGCCCTTGTGCAAGGCCTCCATAGCTCCATTCTTGCAACACCTCCGGCAGGTGGGGTGTGCGCTGTGACTCAGAAGTGTCACAAGCGACAGGAAGCCAGCTCACATCAGCTGGAACCCAAAGGAGAACTTGTTTGTCCACATTGTTGACTTGTGGGCCCAGCTGGATTCATCGGGTGCTGGAGGGCTGTCCCCATCCTGAGCTGCCTTCTCAGGCCAGCCCTGGCTTTCAGGAACCCTGGAGTCTTGTGCTCATAGCCTCACCACTGCCAAGGAGAGGATACTTTCAGTTCCCAAGGGCCAAGCACCCCAAATGACCTGGCATGGATCATACAGGAGGATTGGACCAAATTCATCCAGTCTCCTCTGCTTGCCAGGGGTCAAGTCCATTCCAGCCTAACTTGATGGCTCCCCAAGGAAAGTCACGGTGGTGGCTTCAAGAGAAGGAGGATTTTGGTAGCAGAAAGCCCCAGTAGGTGTTACTAGCCTGTCCTACTTAGGAGGAGATGGTTCACAGGGAGGAAGTCTCTTGGCCAGAGTCACACAGCCAGCAAGGCTCCATCCCCCAGGCGTGCCTGGTTTCACAGCTCACGCATGCAGCCTCGTCACCAAGCGGCTTCTTCCTTTTCAACATTTGGAGTTGGGAAACATGAGCTACTGCCCATGGTCCTTGGCTGTAAACTGAACACAAAGAAAGGTTAAGCTTTCTCGGGTTGCACGACCATGCTCATTTCTATAACATGTCCATCTCTTGTGACCCCAGACAGGTGGATCCCCAGCAACTATCCCATTACCGAAAACATCCGCGCCATATACTTGACCTTAGAAAAACTCATTCAGTCTGAAGAAACCCAGGTGAATGGAATTGTGATTCTGGCTGACTACAAAGGAGTGAGCTTATCAAAAGCATCTCATTTTGGCCCTTTTATAGCCAAAAAGGTGATTGGCATCCTCCAGGTATGTTCCGCTGTTTGTCCTGCACCTCTTCTGTGGTTGGTTTGGCTTTCTGCGGGCCCCATCCCTTTACTGCAGGTCTCAGAACATCTAAATCCCACATCCCACTCCTGCAAGCAGAGAGAAACAGGAGGTGTTACAGGAGAAAGTCTCCTTGTCCAGTTTTACATTCAGCTCCGGCCAGGGTCTCCAAGCATTTCTGAAGGTTTCTTCTGCCTGGGCAAGATCAGCTGTAGCACCAGAGTCCAAACACCAGGGAGATGCTTTTCCACTGGGTGTTTTGTTTGTTTGCTTGGAAGATGGAGAAGGAGTCCTCCAAGAACTCAGCCTGTGCCACCTGTAAGGAACTAGGCTCATGGAATTCTACTGGGGCACATTCCGGTCTGTAGCATTGCCCCTCGGGTCACAGGAAATTGTGAAGTTTCTTACATATCTGAACTGCGTTGAAGGATTTGCACAATGCTTTCAGAGTCACTGGCTTGTCTAGTTCTTCCAAGAATCTTCTGAGATAGCTAAGGTGAGGATTAGTCTTTGAGATGATTGGAGAAATTGAAGGACTTAGGACCAAGGCCAGCTCAGGCCTGACAGCTTCCATAACCTTGCATTCCCTGTTTTCTGTACTGTCTTGTGAGCTGTGGATACCAGCTGTACCATGGTTCTCTGAGTTCCACAGATGTGTTTGAGCCCCTGCTGTGTAGCAGGCTTAATGTTGGAACAAATCAGTGCCCTCCATTTGGACATGTCTGTCAGCTTGAACCCTGGCTTTCCTTAGCTTCCAGTCTTTTGATCGCTCCTGCTGGATACCTTGTAGACTCATGTGCCAGGATAGAAGTGGGATTGGCATTTTTATAGTCAGTCCATTTCCTGTGAATTTTATCATAAACCTTTCCATAGTAAAGATCTTTAATAGGGCTGTGATTAAATCAATATGACTGTACTTTAGAAAAAAGGTGTTTTTTTTTTTTAAGATTTATTTATTCTTATTGAAAAGACAAATTTACAGAAAGATCTTTCATCCTCTGGTTCACTCCCCAAGTGGAGCTGAGCCAGAGCTGAGCCAATCCAAAGCCAGGAGTGTCTTCTGGGTCTCCTACCTGGATGCAGATCCCAAGGCTTTAAGCCTTGCTGTACTGCTTTCCCAGACCACAAGCAGGGAACTAGTTGGAAAGTAGAGCAGCCAGGACATGAACTGGCACCATATGGGATCCCAGTGTTTGCAAGGCTAGGATTTAGCCACTGAGCCATTGCACTGGGCCCTTATCAACTTATTTGAAAGTCAGACAGAGGTACACAGAAAGAGGGAGATCTTCCATCTGCTAGTTCACTCCCCATATGGCTGCAACAGACAGGGTTGGACCAGGCTAAAGCCAGGAGCATCATCCAGGCCTCCCGTGTGTGGCAGGGGCCCAAGGACTTAGGCCGTCCTCCACTGCTTTTCTCAGAGCACTAGCAGGGAGCTGGATTGAAAGTGAGACAGCCGGACATGAACTGGCACCTGTTTGGGATTCTGGCATTGGAAGTGGTGGTTTTACCCACCATGCCACAACACTTGACCCTCGTTTATATTTCTTTAAAAAAAAATGTAGTAGATATTGTGGCTATTTACGGGTTAATGTGATGTTTTGGTGTATGTTTGTGTCATGTATGTATTGTATCATGTCAGTCAGGGTAAATATTGTCTCTCCCCAAACATTTCTTTATGGTTAAAATATCCAAAATCTTCTAGTTGTTTTGTTTTGTTTTGTATCGTGAACTCTCATCCCTTGTTATCCTGCTCTGCGGGGGAGCCCAGAGCTGTGTACTCCTGTCTCACTGTCACTCAGTCCCTGCTCCTCTCCCTCATGACACCTGTAGCTTCTCTGAGCCTCCCTTGCTTTTGCTTCACACGTGGCTGAATGGAGTGTGTCTTCCGTGCTTGGCCTCACTTATCACTTGGCTGTGTCACATCACTCCTACTCATTTGCCTGCCTCTCATCACCTGCTAGCATCCAAGGGAAGATGCTTTGGACCACCCTGACGCTGGAGGCCTGGTGTTTTCCAGACCTGCCTGTAGACCAAGATCATGCTCCACCTGCTTGCCTACGTCTCTCCTGAGCCAGCTTTGGGTCCCAGGGGAGACTTGGTCCCCAGGGACTGTTTACTCATTAGCCTCTCTGGGGGCTCTGAGGAGAACCAGGCAGGCCTGGTGCTGAGCCCTACGATGAGGAATCCAATCAGGGAAGTGGACTGTGAAAGGGAAGGCTGCAGATTCTCCACTTGACCTAACTCCCTTCCTTCTGCTCCTCCCCTCAGGATGGTTTCCCCATTCGGATAAAGGCAGTTCACGTGGTGAATGAGCCACGGATATTCAAAGGCATCTTTGCCATCATCAAACCATTTCTCAAGGAGAAAATAGCAAACAGAGTAAGTACAGAGCCTCCCGAATCCAGAAACTGATTTTTCTCTTATTTTATTTGTGATATATAGGCCTTATGTCTCAGCTTATTCGTTTGGACCTGAGACCGCTAATTTGGAAAGCTCAAGGTCCAAGTTAAAATACACGAAGAATTGTGTTTGTGAGGGGAAGACAAAATGAGTAAGAATATATTGCTTGGTAGTGAAGGGAGCAGAATGAAAGTTTTTTTTAAGAGCTTCCCAGCTTTGTCATCATTGAGATACTGTATTTTGTGTCTAAGAGGATGTAGCAAAAAGGAGATGCAAAAGCCATCACTGGGCATAAAAGTGCAAGGAGCTGTAATAATTCCTCACATTTCCCCAACTTGTCTCAACCCAAGCTTCAGGAGAGATGTCTTCACCTCGCCCAACACAGCTGACCAAGCTGCACTGGACGTTCGCCCTCTCCCCTTTCCCTAGGCTTAACAGCCTTGTGGGCTGGTAAGCTTAACAACCCACAGGTTGGGCCTGAATTCCATATGCGTTGTCAAGAGGAAGCAGATGGAAATGCAGATAGTGCCAAGGTTCTAAGGACCCAGAACTTGGAATCCCAAGATTTAGCTTCATCAGCTCAGGGATGGCCCGCACGGGTCTGTGTGGCTTGAATCTCCCAGGGTAATGGGGATGCACGTTAGGCCTGTGGGGCCTGTAAGTAGCTGCCTGGAACCGTGCCCCAAGCAGCCTGTGGTCAGGGCGTTTACACCTGTGAGATGCCCTTATGTGCAGCCCTTGATGTTGTTCATTTGTTCCTTTGTATGCTCATCTACCCAAAAATACTTACTGGTCAACCGCTAGGTGCAAGATGAACAAAAGCCCCCAAACCTGGCCCAGGGGTGCTCGTAAGATAGCCAGCCAGCTAGCGGCTTACTAATGGTGTCTAGTGTTAGATAGCGAGCATGAGATATGATGGATGTTTGAGCAAGGGCTTGAGTGGTGAGGAAATGAACCAGAGACCTGGAAGACCAGTCACAACAGTACTGCAAGGTGAAGCCTGACTGGTGTCCTGGAGGAACAGCTGGGGGGCTGACCTGAGTGGTCAGTACCCAGACAGTGGTAGTAGGGAGAGGGCGAGTCAGAATAACAGGATCAGATCATGAGAGGTCTGGTGGACTATCAGGCAAATTTGAGCTTTCTGTGTGTGAGCTGGAAGCCCTGGTGGTTGCTAGTAGAGAATTGCATGATCTGACAGATACTGAAAGAAGCCAAGTTTGCAGTGGGACAGGTAGGAACAGGAGGACCAGAGTAGACTCTTACAGATGTTCAGGGAGACGTGATGGCAGCATGATACCCTGAGGGTGGTTGAAAAGTATTTGGATCTGGATCTACTCTGAACATCCAGCCAATAAGAGTGTGCAGTTTGGAGAAAGGGGATTCCGGATCCTCCAAAGTTGTGGGTCTGAGAAATGAGAAGGGTAGAGCTGTCATCCCTTCACTGACCAGATGCTGGAGCTCCTACCCCAGAGGATGTTGCTGCCTCAGCGATTAACCAGAGCGTATGTGTGTGTTCATTTCATCTCCCCTTCAGTTCTTCCTCCATGGGTCTGACCTGAATTCTCTCCACACAAACCTCCCAAGAAGCATTCTCCCCAGGGAATATGGGGGCACAGCTGGCGAGCTGGACACTGCCACCTGGAACGCAGTGCTGCTGGCCTCAGAGGATGACTTTGTGAAAGAGTTCTGCCAGCCTGTCCCCACCTGCGACAGCATCTTGGACCATGCACTGCTGCCAGAAGGCCTAACCTCGGACGTGCAGTGTGATGACTCCATGCGAGCTGTGAAGTCCCAGCTGTACTCCTGCTACTAGCCAGTCCCCCATGGGTGCCACTATCTTTTCATCCTTTCCTTTTCCCTTTGGAAACACCTAAGGTGAATTTAAGGGGCCAAGGATTCAGTCTCACTCCTTGTGATTCAACAGTGGCATTGAGGAGCAGCCTTTGGAGAGCTTTAACCATGAGCCTCTCATGGACTAAACGTCTGTTACTTGAATTACTCCTTGTAAGGCATGGGAAATGGGCCCAAGAATCTCCCAGTGTTTGGAATCTTGGTTTGCATCTCTTAATCCACAGCTACATTGTGTTTTCACGCATGTCAGAAGCAAGACGTGTCAGGGCCCATGTCACCCTGAGTCTGTTTTCCAGGAGGAAACAGCCCACCTGGACAGTTGGCATTGTTCTTGCGAGACCATCTGGTCAAACCCAGAGCTGGCCAGGGGTGAGCTTTGGCTTGAGGCATTTGTGTCTTTCACAGGAGCCACTGTAAATATCTGCTCATCAGGAAACAAGTTGGAGGCCTAGGCCCCAGTTGCCATCAATGAGCTTGAAAAGGACCTGCTCCTACTCCTGCAAGCTTCAGGACTGTCAGCACTCCCTGGTGACATCCGGAAGCCACAGACCAAAGCACTGCAGGAATCCACTGGCTGAATCTTGTGATAGAAACTTGGATTTTCCTAAACCCAAAAAGCCTTAGCCCTGGGTCTTGGTAGACTCTTTCAGGGTCCTAAAAGTTTGAGATTTTAATTGCCTCTAAAATACTAGGGCAGTAGAATTCTGGCCTCAGAAACAGAGACCTGGGCTCCAGTGTGAACGGAGCTCAGATTTCCCCCTGGGGCCTCAGCTTGCTCACGGGTAAAACAAGGCAGGATTAAGGATATGGCTAGAGTTTTTCTGGTTACTGAGGTGCTGGAATTTGGTTCCATTTTGTACCTGGGAAGATGACTGCTCAGATACAAGTGGTTGGGTCCTATTTTTCTGTGAGTCACGTGGCCCTTTCCAGGAGGGATTGTCACCATTTGGCCCTGCCTTTCCTTCCTGTTGTGATGGTTAGACTTCAAGAAGGGTGACCTTGGTGAGGCCACCAGGATCTTGTGTGGCCATGTATTATAAACCTGTCTGCAGTGGCGACAGTGCTGGAGATCCTTCCATTTTGGTCCCTGGAAATGAACATAGGGCTGGGTCACTTCTTGGGCACCCAGCTTTCCCAGGCTCCCTGGAAGGACTAGTCAGCCAGCCTGAATGTCGGCTCTGTGTTTCGGCACTTTAGACCCTCCCCATCAGGATGCCAGCCTTAGCCCTGGCATCAGATTAGGGGGTCCATGTGATGGCATCCCACCTGATTCCTTTCACATTCGTTCCCTGTGGCCGTGGTGTGAAACAGCGACCAGTGCTACGTACTGTGTATGTACCTTCCCCCGTGCATCTGTCAGACTAAGTGCGTGAGGCACACAGCGGTTGAGAGCAGTGCTCTCAAGTGCAAGGCCAGGCTGCTGCTGCCAAGCTGTTCATCTTTAGAGCACTTTTGAAAATGTCTGGAGAAGCTGCTGGTGAAAATTTGTCTATTTACCTCACTAATGCCAATTCTAGGAAGTTCTTTCCAAAACCGCAAATACCAATCCTGGATCCTCAGGGTCTTGGTTGAGCTGGAAATGCCCAAGCCACACGGTTGCAGCTGCCTTTTTGCCGCTGACAAGGATACAACTACTACGAGCTGTCATGGCCTAACTAGGGCAAGAATGGCTGATGAGCGTCCAGAATCCAACAACTTGGGCTGGAGAACTGGTTAGAACCTTTCTCAGATTCCCAGAGGGAAGAGAGGGGGGAAAAATGTTTTTTAGACTAAGAGAATTGCTCACTCGGCTTCACCTGTTCCTGAGGTTTCAATTCAATATTGCATTTCAGGCCATCGGCCTGGTCTGAGTGACATACAGGAGTAGCCATGCTTTGAGAGACATCTCAAAGGCCAGGCAGAATGTGGTCCTGTTCCTAGGCCTCTCCAGGTAAGGGCCCAAGAAACTGTGCTGTCAGCTTCAGGGAAGGAGTTGGGCGAGCTTTGTCTGCCTCGGAGCCCCTGCACTTGTGCTTTGCCCTCAAAGAGAGAACCTGGAGCTTTGGACCGCAAGAGGCTTGAACCAAGCTGCCAAGCGGACGTCCCTGGGTGCATACGAAGGCGGCCTCTCAGACTTCCCAGGGTGTTTGTGTAGTTGCCCCAGCAGGGTAGGGGGGTACACAGGGAGCAAACCCACCACCAACAGGAATGGAGGAGTTGGAAGGTTTTCTCACGGGGCAGAGTTCCGGCAGGCTCACAACACCCAGAAGTTAACTTTCCTCTCCATTCGGTTGCAGCCTTACCTTGCTCTGGCTTTGAATCGCTGGTATCCCCTGAGCATGTCTACACCATGAACTCTGAACCCATCTTGATATTCCACTGGCTTTACTGCCTCAGGAATGCCCTATTCTGTTTTTAGAGGTGACTCTGCCCCTCACCCCACCCCCATTTGGATTGTTATTTAGGACATTTAGATCTGGATGAATTGACACTTAAAAGCTTTCAAATCAATCCATAGATTCTGGTGTACGGGAGTTGTCCTCTACCTCTTCCCCTGTGCCCCACAGAGAATTTTGGAAAATCATGTCTCTTCCTGAAAACCACACCTGCATTCAAGGGAAAAGCTGGGTGGAACCTACAGGAACCGCTAGACGTGCTCCCTCCTTCCCCTCCTCTCCAGGAGTTTCCCTGAGGTTTGGACCCCTCAGGCTTCCTTGCTGCTTTCAACCAGGGGGCGCTTGTCCGGGGCTCCTCAGCACTTCCAGTTCCTACACTGTCCCCACTCAGAGTCCCAGAGTCCTTTCCCCTGAATTCCTGTGAGGCGTCAAACCTTCAGATTTCTTCTGGACAGGCAGCTTCTCTAAGTGGCGTCGGATCTTCATACCAGTCACAGGCATGTCTTGTCATTGTGGGCAGCGGAAGCAGTAGCAATGTCATGGCTTTATTCTAATGCCTCACGTGAACGTTTTCCGCCCAGAGCGCTCGCATGTCGGGAGGGAGAGGTGGCTGGGCTCATGGCGTGCTGGTGGCCCTCCCGTGTCTGGGAGAGGCATGGAGATTCCCAAAGGAAACACACCAACCATTAGGGAAACATGCAAGTTCCTGAGAATGCCTCTCAGAACTGAACCGTTCGTAATACCAGTGGTAATACTGATGGCTTCCTGGCACTGCAGGTAGAAACCTGCTCCAAGTGAAATACTTGAACTTTCTCTATGGTTGAGAGCCTCTGGCGCGTCTCTCTCTCCCTCTGATGGGGTCGTGGGGGGTGGGCGGCTTTCCTGACCAGCTAGGGAGCACTGTTGCTGCCTCTGGTCTCATTCCTTGCTTCAAACTGAAATTCAGTTTGGCTCTGAGCATAAAGGGAACCATGGCGACGCCTGCATCTACTTCAGTGTTTGTTTTGACAAGAAGTTTTATTTTTCTAGTGCATTTTCTAAGTCAAAGTGGTAAAAATATGTACATTTTAGTATGCATGACTGGGACTTCCACAATTAAAAAAAAAATCCCTATAAGGTTGATGGTGTGTGGTGTTCTGTGACTGTGACTGAAGTTCTGAGGTGGGTGACTCCAGGGGTCTGGGCAAGTCTTCCTCCAGGTGAGCCAGGATACACATGATGATGGCACATCTTGTACATGGCGCTCATGTGCAGTGAGACTATGCCAATGTGGGCAGAACACAACCAGTCACACCCGGGGTACAGAGGAAATTGGCTTGTGTTCTAGTTTCTTCAAAATCACACAGCAGCAGTCCTGCCCCTCTCAGAGCCAAGTGACCACTCAATAGTTTAGTCTGGAAGCTCCGATAAGCCAGTTTCTGACCCCTTGAGAGCCACCAGAGTATAGCCCAAGTGTCTCTGGTTCAAGTCTTGCTTTGCCCACCTGTCCTGTTTAGAGGGGAGCACACACTCTACCCCAGAGCAGAACATAAAAGTGAGGTGCCATGGCGGGTCTGCTGTACAGGTAACAAGGCCACTAAGAAATTACTCTTACCACAGCGCACATGCTGTTTGAGGCCTCAGGCTAGTACTTACGCTGTGGCCAGGTAGTTCTTCACACCAGCCTGTGCCCCGCCTGTCCCCAGCCTGCTTGTCGTGCTTGGGTGCCTCACAGCAGTGTCAGAAGCCTATAAGGAGTCAGCCCCTTCTCTGTGCCTACTCCTCACAGAGGGCTGCCCTGGCACACCTGCACCCATGGCAGTGCAAATTTCACATAACTGCACTTCAAGCTGGGGAGGAGGAAGATCCTCAGGGTATCACTTTTCTGAAAAAAAAATTTTCTTAGCCAAATAGTCCTGCTCTTACCAGACCAAATGCCTTGTACTTGGGATACAGTAGCTTGCTGAAATACTAGTTTCTGCCTTCTGGTGATTAGTAACTTTTCCTTTAGTGAGCCAGTTAACTCCCATATGTGTTTCTAAGTAGCCTGCATCTTCCTTAAGGGCCTCAAGACAAGGAGGCCTAGGTTTGCCTCTGTTTTGCTGTTTACTAAGCAACCATACAAGTCATTTGCTTCTCGAAGCCTCAGTTTGAGCAATGAAGTGGGCCAAGATAATCACCTTACAGCAATATAGGTAATGCTTGTTCACTGTTACACACAGCTATCTATATGGTATCAACAAGGATGGAGTCAAAAAGTTCATGGAAAATGTGTATCAGGTAAATGCTAAGGCCCAGCATGGAGAGACAGTGTGTTAAGCTGCTAATGGCAACAACACTATCCCATGTTGGAGTGCTGGTTCAAGTCCTGGCTGCTCTGCTTCCAATCCAGCTACCTGCTAATGGGCCTGGAAAGCAGCAGCAGATGGCCCAAGGGCTTGGGCCCCTGTCACCATGTTGGGAGATCCAGGTGGAGTTCTTGGCTCCTGGCCTCAGCCTGACCCAGCCCCAAGTGTTTCGAACATTTGGGGAGTGAGCCTGCTTTCTTTCTGCCTTTTCAAATAAATAAGTATTTGGGGTGGAAAGAATTATTAATTTCAAAAGAAATTTAAGCCAAAATAAACACGATATCTAATTCCATCTTTATGAATTTTTCAAAGACTCTATGTAAATACCACACACTGGATGACTTGCACTTCACCTGAGGATACAGACATCACCTGGCTGGCTGGCTGGCTGACACCTGCCAGAATAGACTGACCAAACGACAGGAGGGCAGCAATGAGCAGGAACCCCCAGTGAGAAGCCAGAGCCTGACTTTCCAATAAAAATAAATCTTTTTTAAAAAAGTAACAATCCAGCACAATTAGTCCTACAAAGCTTTCTCCCAGCCATGACTAGGTCAAAGTAGCTGAAAAATTCCTAGAGCGAGCCCCAGACTTTGAAGCCAGAGCCTCCACCTGCAGCCCTGTTCATCCTGGTGATTCACAAGTGAGCTGACACCATGAGATCTGCTGACTCAAAAAATTATGTCCTGCTTTGGAATCTGATCCTGGGCTTACTCAGGATGCTGGCATTATTTATGTTTATGTGTAATTCAGCACTTGTGTGCACAATTCCCCTGAGTAACCGGGTGTCTCATTCCCAGGAAGACTTCTTAGGATCTGACCAAGCACAGCAGTGGCACTGCTCCTTCCAGCCCGCCACTGCTTCTTAAGGAGTACTTATTAGTTCAAATTAATATCCAAGTTATTATGAGGAAAAATAATTTTATTGGACTTTATTACATTTCTTTTACAGCCTAGTGTTGCTTTTGCTTGAATTAAATAAGATGGAGAAAGGGGCACTGTAATGTTTTTGAAATTCAGGGTCTTGAAAGCTCTTAACCTGGCTTCTCCCCACTAAGAAAAGTCAGATGTCTAATTACCATTGACAAAATAAGGAGACTAGCCCTGTCCACCCCTAAATCTCCTGTAAACTTCTCTCCATACATTGATATAAACCGCTGATTCCAACAATCCGTATAAAGCCCTGCTTGCTGCCTGTCCCCATCCCTGGCCATAAAGTCTGTCGCCTCTACCTTCACCTGTTTGATTCTGCCCAAATACCTGGAAACCAGCCTTGCTGGGGTCTTGGCTGAGCGCCTCTGACCTCTGCATACCATCCAGCCTCAGGGAGATACACAGCTACTGTCAGCAGCCTTGGAATGGTTTAAGCACTTTGCACAATAACCTTATTTTCTATGAACACTCTTGCACGCTAATACTAACCATCTCAGGTATGAACACTTGACATACAGAGAGGCAGCCTCGCAGGCTTAAGGGCAGCAAAGCATCATGTGCACTCAGAAGTCAGCCGGCCAGTTGGACAACAGGAAACAGCAAAGCTGGGATGCAAATCGGGACAACACCCAGGCTCATTAACCATTATGGCCGACCTCCCTTCTCCCAACAGTGTTTTTATGTTTCCCACATAAATAAATGGAACTACCATCTACTGTCTCCTCATATCTAATTAATTTTCATGTTTAAAATTCTGATTACTGAGTCCCAACTGTCAATTTCTTTATCTCCACTGCCCTCCTCTTTCAAATCTCAGACAGACTGGCCTTGGTATCATCTCTATATCAGTCCAAGTGACCAAAGACATAGTCTGCTTGTGTCACTCTGAGCACGCCCTCCGTTGTCCAGTGCAAGGTCCAAAATCCTGAGCAGGACTCACTCAGCTCTTCCTGACCTCCCTGGTGCCACTGCCCAGCCCAGCTCCACTGGCTGTTTGCTATGCCCCTGCACTCCAATGTCTCCCTCAGCTTTCTCCTCAGTCTTGGCTTAGATATCTCCTCCAGGAAGCCTATAGTGGTATCCACCACTCACAGGGCCTCTCCTGTGAGTTCTCTGCACTTCCTACCCAGCACCACAGAACCACCACATTCTAACCGCCTGTCAGCTTGCTCTCACTCTTAGCTGAAGTCCAAGATGGAAGAGTCTAGGACTACCTGCCTTGGGTTGCAGCCCAGAACCTAACAGCCTGGGCCAGAAGAGACATTCAGGAAATCTGTGGAAAAACAATGCTTTTTGTTCTACCTCCTTATATGCTGCCTCTCATGAATACATTTTTTTGACAATGCCTTGCTGCTCCTCACCAAAGTGAGCTAGAGAAGGTCTTAGTTTTGAAAGGAGTAACACTCTGCTTACTTACAGTCACACAGTAAGTTTTAGAAGGAATCTGAGCATCCTGGCTAGATGCTTGACAAACTTGACTGTCCACAAGCCCAAGAATGGCTGCTAACTCACCACAGCTGTTAAAGAAAGGGCCTGAAAAACTTAATGTCTGTTTTAATCAAATAGCTTTATAGTACAAATATAATAAAGTCACATGCATTTCACTTTTTTTTTTACATACTCAGAACAAGATCATTACACAGACACTGCAGTGTTTTCTCAAGTGAACCTTCATTTTAACCAAATCTACAAAGCATTTATTGACATTAAACTAGCCAGCAAAGCTACAGACCTGAATCAAACAGCCTCGATGCTGTAGTATTTTAAAAAGTAAATTTAAAAACTCACAACATAGAAGCGGTGACCATCTCAGCAAGCACTCTCCCAGAGAGAAAGCCCATCCATGAGCCCTGCCCCTCTGAGGAGTGCTTGGCATACACCAGGAAGGCCTCTCACAGAGCAAGATGTCATATCAACGTGATTTGGTGTGGACTGTTTTTTTTAAGGTAGCAATACTGCAATAGAAATATATTAACAATGGCCTCAACAGCCAACATTCTTCTTACATCTTAAACCAAAGTTGTAGGAAGCTACAGATCTTTATAAAGAACTCTCTTCACAGCACAGCTGCAATTCACTTTACATCACAGAACTCCTCCCTTGATCCTCTGTCCTTACAAGTCAACATCATGAACATAGAACAACACTCTGACTCCACAGCACATGTTAGTCTTGCCTTGGATAGAAGCTTGCAATTAGTCACATTTGCCAAGCGTTCACTACATATTTTAGTTGAAGCAAACTTAAAAGTGATATGAGTTTTCAGCAAAGGAGACCTTTATAAGCTTCAGAGGCATCCATGGCCCTCAGGTTCAGCTGAAGTCCCGATTGGTGAGGACAAGTGGTGCCACAAGGGTCCAGACATAGAGGACGAGGCACACCCAACTGGAGGCGATTTTGACCCACACAGCTGGCCACTTGCTGGTCACGTTCTGGAAATTTGCATCAGGGCTAAGAAAATAAGAATCAGGAAAAAGAATCTGTTATCAACTTCCTGCACCCTTCCAGCCAAGGCCAAAAAATTACCCTGTGAAACTTGACTGGCATAACTTCCCAGGACAATTCTAGAGGGGACCTGAAGTAGCTGCTACTCTTACTTCTTATGAGCAAGAGAGTAAGTGCCTCTCCGAGAACTCTCAGAGAGTAAGTGCCTCTTCGTGAGAACATTAAAGACCTCAACCATTCTCTAGACAAGGTTCTTGAAGATTATCCAGCTGTTATAGTTACTGGCAACAACCCAGACCTAACTGGCCCCCCTGTAGCTTTTCTTAACTCGTACACTATTGCCTTGACATAGCCATCTCCAGACACAGAGAAAATTAGTATATAAAAGATGGCTTACATAATTTGCATGATTTTTTTCTCTCGATTAGTTCAAGCTCAGTGATTCCCGCCCCACCCCCGCTATGAAGAATTCCACATTTCAGAAAGGAGCCACGAACATTACATCAGCACAGAGGTAAAGAGGCTCAGGACAGAGGGGGGATTCAGCAGGCAGTCCAACAGGGCAGGTGGCCTATTTGTTTTGTAACTGTCTCTCACCTGTACCAGCTGGTCAGGGTCATCATGATATACAAGGAAGCCAAGCAGAGCATCAGGTGGAAGAAGGAGTAGCTGTACTGGACGCCCTCTTTCTCATTGTCCACAGCCCGCCGAGGCTGTCCATCTTCTTCCTCACCAGTTCCAGCGGCAGAGGTATCGCCGAGGATCACACTGTCACTTCCCGAAAGGGTCAGCTTGTTTACCTGGCTATTGGTCGAATTGCGGATGCTGGAAAGTGATCCCAAGGAAAACAAATCAGGAAAGGCCTATGAAACTATACAGAGGGACTTCAAAAAGTTCATGGGAAAACAGCATTAAGAGATGTTTATTTTTTTTTTGCAAAAATTTTAAAGTCTATGAATTATTTTTTTGTAGTTCAGATTTCCATAAACTTGCCAGGATACCCTCTTTATATGGTTTGAGATAGGACTTAAGTTTTTTTTGCATGTGGACATGAGGTTCCCCCCGCACATTTGTAAGAGATAATTTTTACTTTTTTTTTAAAGATTGATTTATTTTTATTGCAAAGTTAGATATATATATATATATAGAGAGAGAGAGAGAGGAGGAGAGACACAGAGAAATATCTTCTGTCCAATGATTCACTCCCCAAGTGACTACAACGGCCAGTCCTGTGCTGATCTGAAGCCAGGAGCCAGGAGCTCTTCTGGGTCTCCCACACAGGTGCAGGGTCCCAAGGCTCTGGGCCATCCTCAACTGCTTTCCCAGGCCACAGGCAAAGATTTGGATGAGAAGTGGGGCTGCCGTGATTAGAACTGATGCGCATATAGGATCCCAGTGCATTCAAGATGAGGACTTTAGCTGCTAGGCCACCGTACTGGGCCCAATTTTTACTTTTTTGTGTTATTTATTTTACAGAGTCAGAAAGACAGAGAAGGGCCTTTCATTTTCTGGTTCATTCTCCAAATGGCCACAATAATTATATCTGGGCTAGACTGAAGCCAGGAGCTTCTGGGTCTCCTATCTCAAACCATATAAAGAGGTTATCATGGCAAGTTTATGGAAATCTGAACTACAAAAAAATAATTCATAGACTTTAAAATTTTTGCAAAAAAAAAAAAAAACCATCTTTTAATGCTGTTTTCCCATGAACTTTTTGAAGTCCCTCTGTATAGTTTCATAGTTGTTAAGTATTACTTATACTGATCAGGAGCTACAATTTTTTTAAACATAATACAAGTTATTTTCAGAGCCACTAGTCTTACCCATTTAGGACCAAGTGACAATTTTATGCTCCTATAGAAGGAAAGGTAGCTCTTTGCAAGGTTAGGAGGAATTATTTACAAAACTTAAAGAACTCTTCTCAGCTGTGTCTGAATCAAGTCAAGGATTTTTCATTAAATTTGAGCTGTTATTTTCTTTTTTAATTTCTCACATTGTTTTGAAAACAAGTCAGCTTCTTAATGCTATTAGAATCTTTTACAAAAGCATTATCCTAAGTACTTTTTAACCTACCTAGAATATAACAGGCACAAGACAAAGATAATTAGCCCCCAGACATTCTCAAGGTCCAGAAAGTGCCCGCTCTTTGCTGCTGGGATAGACGTAGGGGCTATGGTGGTTGCGTTTCCAGGAGCCGAGGTGGGTGCCACGGTGTGGGTGATGATGCTCAGCAGGCTGGGGTTGCAGGAACGATCTGGAAGAGGGACACAGAGCTGAGCCCAAGTGAGAACTCCCCCTGTGCCAAGAAGGGATCTGGGGGTCGCTTGCACATCACTCAGGCATGGCATGAATCGTGGCCATGACACACTCTGCTTGAATCACAGCAGTCAGGAATGCTACTAAGGTCCTTCAGAAATTCATGGAAACATGAGATTACAAAGTAAAAGGACTTTAAATCCAGTTTTTTTTTTCAGAATGCACATTTTCCATGAGCATTCTGAAGGCCCTGTGTATCACAACCAGTTACTTCACTTTAAACAAACAAAAAAAAAATCTGTCAAATTTCATGTCAATCTTATTTTATGGGTTTTAGTTTAAATGATAAATCTCTCTAATTCTCTAGTGCCAAAGCCTTAAAGTACAGGGTTTTAACCCTAGTTTTATTTTTACATATTTACTTGCTAAAACAAAAACTATTAAACAGAGGGGAGCCTTCAATCAGTTTTTCTTTAAAAGGAGTACTCGGAATATCCTTCTGAGAAATGATCTATAGTAACTACAGAAGTTTTAGCTAGCTTGCCTCAGCCCACTGGGACCCAGACCTGAGGCTCTCCAACATGCCTGTGAATGTGCAGAGGGAACACGAAGGCAAGCAGCGACAGAACTGCAGAGGGCGGCGGACCACACCAGAGCAAGCTCTACTCGCCCCGCCTGCGCTTACTCAGTGTTTTGCACCCACAAACAGGGTGACTTCCTGCTGCTTCCACCACAGCAGTGTGCTGCCCACACGTCCTTACCGGGCTCATTGGACATGGCGGACCACGTGAGGTACATGGTGTACAGGGTGATGATGGAGGACTGCAGGAGGCCCGAGCGAGGCTGGTGCTCCTGCGAAGCAGAAGGAAGACAAGGTCACAAGGGCTGTGAAGACTGACTGGCTAAAACCCACTCTTCCCTGGTACTCGCTGAAGGGTTGGGAGCTGAGAACCTTCTGGATCTGCTTAGCCCTGGTCCCCTTTCTGTTTGAGTCAGTTTATGAAAGAACAAAGAGACAAACCATGGACACTGGTTCTCAAAGGCATTTCATCATCCTGGAGTCTCTGACCTGACATGAAAGCTTTGGAAAAAATCTAAGCTCTTGGGGAGTGAATCATCGGATTGAAGATCTTCCTCTCTGTCTCTCCTCCTCCTCTCTGTATATCTGACTTTATAAAAAAAGGACAGGTGAGGGGCCAGAGTTGTGGCAATGCAGGTTAAGCTGCCACCAGGCACACAGGCATCCTCTATGGGCATTATTTTAAGTCCTGGCTACTTCTGATCCAGATCTCTGCTAATACACTTGAGAAAAACAGCAGAAGATGGCCCAAGTGTTTGGGGCCCCCTGCCACCCACATGGGAGACCTGGATGAAGTTCCTGGCTCCTGGCTTTGACCTGGCCCAGCCCATTCCCATTCCCATTTGGTGTAGCCATCTGGGGAGTGAACCAGAGGATGGAAAATCTCTCCCTGTCTCTTTCTATCTCCCTCACACCTGTTCTCTCTCTCTTTAACTCTGACCTTTAAAAATAACAAATCTTTAAAAAATATAAAAGGAGGGTCTAGTGCAGTGGCCTAGCAGCTAAAGTCCTCGCCTTGAATGCGATGGGATCCCATATCCCAGCAGCCCCACTTCCCATCCAGCTCCTGGCTTGTGGCGTGGAAAGCAGTCAAAGATGGTTCAAAGTCTTGGAACCTGCACCAGCAAGGGAGATGCAGATGAAGCTCCAGGTTCCTGGCTTTGGATTGGCTCGGCTCTGGCTGTTGTGGTCTCTTGGGGAGTGAATCATTGGACGGAAAATATTCCTCTCTGTCTCTCTATGTATTTGTCTTTACAATAAAAAATAACTAAATATTTTAAAAATATATATATACATATATAAAAGGATAGGTGATGTACAAATGTTCTTTCCTAATTCATTATCCAAAATACTGTGGATTTCTACCATATGGCATTGAAGATGAAACTCAAAAGCTTGAATTTTGGCTTTTAAATATTAAAATCCATTTTTTTTCTAGTCTAATTCTTCTAAAATACACACACTGGAATCATTGCCATGATGTAAACACTTCTGTAAGATAAGTCTCATGTTACCAAGGCTTTTTTTTTTTAATGACAAATTAGTCATTTCATCAAAATACAGGCATTACCACTCAATAGCACATTATGTTGTTGTTTTTTTTAATTGTTAACAATTACGGAGCCTTTAGTGGGGATAATGGGTGAGCTCAGACACAGGCAATGTACCAGACTGCCAGCTTGTATGCCTTGCACCTGTGAAGTCTTTCACAACAGGAAGCAGGAGGAGAGAAGCATACCTGAATTCTTGGATGGATGGATATAACAGAAATCACCACGCAAAGGATCAAGTTAATACTGATGAAGAACTTGTTTTCTGTGCAGCCGTCTGGTTTGGTGTAGTAGGTATACAGCAAGGCCACGAACACAATGGACAGGACATAGAACAAGCTTGTGACCGACAGTAAAGCTGGAAAAAGGAAACCACTATGAAATATCCACAAATTGACTCTTACAACCAAGATGATTTCTTCTATTCCAGACAAAAATGAAGAGGCAATTTCATTTCATTTCGCTTTCATTATCATGGCAATCAGTAAAATATCACACAGCAAAATTTCAACCCCAAGATCAAAGTTTCAGTTTGTGTTAAGTGGCTCAATGTCAAACGCCAAAATCCATTGAGCAGCTGAGTTCATTTCTTGATTATCTTATTTGATTTCATGTGTCAGATAGCTAGATACCCAAGTATCACAGCTGTTACATGCAAAGTAATGTCTACTCTAAGCTTTTCTTAGGAAAAATAAATAAATAACTCTCAGCCTTCACAATGGCCCCGCCCACAGCTGCATGGCAGGAATGGTGGTATGGGAAAATGAAATCATCTAGAGGTCAGTTAGCTTGTGTTCAATTCATAGGACAGACTTCCTTGAGAAAACTAGGTTCTGCTTAATGAATTTTGCATATATAAAATTTAAAAAAATTTAAAGTAACTTTCTAACACAATTCTTGATGTTTTTCCTTTTGCATATACACGATTTCTCTATACTCAGTTACTTTAAAGTAAGGCCAATCTACAACCCATTATTACATTCTTGTAGAGTTGTATGATCCAAAATGAATTATGGAAAACATAAATAAATAGGCAAAAATAATAAATTTTTATGAATTAGAAAATAAAGGAGGAGTCTGGAGATTCCCAACTCCTGATGGTAAGTGACAGACACTATGTTAATAGTCACAATGAACAGTCTAAGTGACCAACAGGGAAACGTTAGAGAAAGTGTTATACCATCCATGGAAAAATGAGGAACTGTTTGGAACGGAATACCATGCAGATGTTAAATGAATGAGACCACAGAACAATTATCCTGTTTATATTTAAATTAAACAAAAATTTGTGCGCATAAAGGTACGGTAATAGTGGCTACTTTTAGGAGAGAAAGTGGATTGCAAGTGGGTTGAGATTTGTATTTTTTATTTCTAAATTTCTATCACTTCTGTTTAAATGCAGTATTGTTTTGCATATGTGTTTTAAAGAAGCTAAATAAAAATGAAACTGGGCAATTTGATAGTATTTAAAACACTGATACCTTTGACAGTTCTACTTCCATAAATTTAGCCAGATTATTGTTCAAGTATACATTATTAGCTCTTTATTACTGGACCATAAGCCAGGATATAGTCATAAGCTTTTTAGCTTAAAAAAAGCCAAACTACAAATAATTCAAATGCATAATACATTTTTAAAAAACACATTATATATATTTCTCAGTAATCATTTTCCTTTTGTAGACATATACATTTAGGGAAAATGCTGCAAGAATATAAACTTGTTAACAGTAATAATTATTGGATGCTTGGAATGAGAGAATTTTTTCTTTCTGGTTTTGTTTTCTCAGTTTTTTACATGCAGTATTATTTTCACAATGGGGAAGGGACTGCGTGAAGAATCCCATCAGCTGTCACGTTTTAAAATGAGGCACGGCTGGGTTGTCCCTGTTGGGCAGAAGGCTAAAATTTCACTCCCCATGATTCAACAGGCTGTGAGTCCTCTTGTCAAGCTGGAAATTTTAAGTGCCCTTTCCCATCAGAAAGCTTGTACTAGAGGTATGGGGCCACAGTGACCAACACAGTAGGGAACGTTCACCCCTAGCTGAAGAGGCACATGTGCAGTGATCCCTCTGCAGACCCCATCTGAGTTCCACCAAACCAAGGCTACCAAAACCAAAACCGTTGCTGAACACAACTATTCTTCTTTACCTAAACAGGTAGTTACGTTACAAATCTCAAAATAAGTGAACTATGAGAACCTAGTGACTTTTATTGTATCTGTCACTACCTCCACTGGACTCAACTGGGAAATTGCAGTTTTTAAAAGGAGATTTCTATATTTAAATTAACGGAGTCTTTATTGTACTGGCTTGTGGAGGTGAGTTCAGATACCTACCAGCATACCAGACCCTTGGGTTTCCTTCTTCCATACGATTTACCCATGATTCATTCCACGAGTGAGCCAGGTCTACCAACAGTACAAGTTGGATGAGGATGAACAATGCAGCCCCTACCATGCCAACAACAAACCAGACTAGAAATCAAGAAGACAAGAGTTACTCTTTGCCACGGCAGTAGCACCTCCGAAAAATGTCCAACATTCTGAACAGACTTCAATTCAAATCAAACAAACAGTAAAGATGTCCCACTAATACAGCACTATTATTACAGTTCAAAATTCAAAGACATTCTCTAAGAATGCCCTGTTGGGTTTCAGATCTCTTACGTACACTGTTATGTCTTTTCCTTTACTGCTAAGGGCGAAGGGAAACTATCACAGTGAAAGCCTCGTCCCTTGCCAGCGGTGTGAGGAGGCAGATTACTATCAGGGCACAAGAGTTGCCAAGACCCCCATGCAGACAAGCAGTCTAACTTCACACTGTCAAATGAGAAGGCAAACTATATTAAAGCACTGTGACTGACAATCACAATCATATGGTTCCAGACAAGTTTGGAAATGGCTGACTGCCTTCTGGCTTTAATTGTTCATTATCTTAATATTAATATCAAGTCACGTAACTGGACCTCCTCTCATCAAATTGCCAGTTCTGCAAAATCAGCAGTGACATGTTTCAAGCATCTGCAGCATATGCCATGGTATCTTGAAGCCCGCGTGGAGTAGCCATACCTGAGGCGAAATAGCCCCCAGGAATGTAGAAAGATCCAACCATGATACCAACAATGGCAGCAATTTTGAAGAACCAAAACCTGGTAAAGTAGGAAAGTACATTTGTCAGTGGGAATTCCCATCACTACGTAGAAAACAATTTCTGAAATACAAAACGAAAGCCATTTTTAACAGGATTGTCTGGACTTAATTCTGCCTTCAATACAAGGCTGCTTGATTCACTCAGCATTTCATTAAAAGATTACTATTAGCATGGAAAATAAATCATTCCATTCAAAATGAGAGAAACACCTAAACTTGCGTCTTGCTACACTTTTCATGTAAGAACAGGAATTTCCAGAGTTCTAACAGCATTAGTTGTAGAGAGGGCCATTAACCACGAGGTTCTAGTGAAAACCTGCCATCTAAGCTCTCACATACAACATAGGACATAAGAATCTTGCCACAATCACAGCTAATTTGTATGCCTTGGAGCTAGGCAGCCCTGAGCTTTAATTCCAGCTCTAGTCCTCAGTAGCTAAGAGATTTCAGGTGATTTATTTAACGTTTCTGAACTGTGCAGAAAGAGAATTCTAACACACATAAAGTTCACAACTTCCCTTCAGATTTCACACAAGAAATATATGCAAAAGAGTTTAGGAGACATGAGTGCGAAATATTAGAATACCTAGGGCCCGGCGGCGTGGCCTATCGGGATCCCATATGGGCACCAGTTCTAATCCCAGCAGCTCCACTTCCCATCCAGCTCCCTGCTTGTGGCCTGGGAAAGCAGTCGAGGATGGCCCAATGCTTTGGGACCCTGCACCCGCGTGGGAGACCTGGAGGAAGTTTCTAGCTCCTGGCTTCAAGCCGTTGTGGCTCACTTGGGGAGTGAAACAACGGACAGATCTTCCTCTCTGTCTCTCCTCCTCTCTGTATATCTGACTTTGTAATAAAAATAAATAAATCTTTTTAAAAAAATACCTAAATTAGTGGCTCATATATTTTTTCACATACTATTGAAACATATCAAGTACATTTTTATATTTAAATAGAAAGGAAACTGTGTATATATATATATATATATACCTGTGCATTGTATGGTGCCTAGCGTAGCATCTAATCTATTAGACACGTGATTCAATAAAAATCTAGGCACTAGAAATAAATGCTATTAAGAAAAAAAAATGGAGCCAGCATTGTGGTGCAGTGGATTAAGCCACCACTGGACACGCTGGCATCCCACATGAGCACAGATAAGAGTTCCTGGCTCCAGGTTCCAGTCTGACTCAGCTTCAGCTGTTATTGCCATTTAAGAAGTGAACCAACAAATGGAATACGATGGCTCTACCTCTCTCTCTCTTACCTCCTTCCCAACTCTGTAACTGTTTCAAATAAATAAATAAACCTCCTACCTAAAATGACACTGAAATATCCAATAGATCAAAACCTATCTGGGCCACTGACTTACATATTCTAAACCTTTCATCAGGACAGCAATACTAACTGCTACAAGGGACATGCACCATGTAAACCAGTAACTTCTACATACCCATTGTGCACAGCTGCTCTAGGGTCTTTACTTGTTCTTACTTTTAACATGAGCAGAAAGAAGGTAAAGAAAAAGATGGCCAAGGCAAAGTTGATCCGATAAACAGCTTTGTAACCAACCAGCACGTCACAGTCTTTATCTGCCTTTATGTCTGTCATCTTGATTTGAAATCCTCCTTCACAGAAGCCAGGAATCTAAAAAAAAAAAAAAAAAAAAAGAGCAATTTCAATATATCAGAACAGCCATATTTAATCAGAAATTTAGAGCAGGCATTGGTTGTAGGAGTTGTGATGCCCCTTGGGGTGCCCTCATCCCATACTTGAAGTGCCTGGGTCCCAGTCCTATTTCTGTCCTGGAGTCTAGCTTCTTGACATGGTGCACACTGGGAGGCAGCGAGAGATGGCTCAAGAAGGTGGGTCTCTCTGCTACACCTTGGGAGATTTGAAATGAGTTCCTTGGGCCTGGCACAATGGCCTGGGAGCTGGGGTCCAAGCCTTGGGCACACTGGAATCCCATGTGGGTGCCGGTTCTAATCCCAGTAGCCCCACTTCCCATCCAGCTCCCTGCTTGTGGCCTGGGAAAGCAGTCTAGGGTGGCCTAAGGCCTTGGGACCCTGCACCCACGTGGGAGACCTGGAAGAGGCTCCTGGCTCCGGGTGTGAGAGTAGAGAAACAGTGGGCACCTTCCTCTTGGGTTAACACTCCCACTGGAGAGCATGAGAATCAGGACTGAGGCAGGCATGGCTAGACAGAATGGCACCCAACTAGCATATGTGTGGGCTGGACAGTGGGGCTGGTTGGGTTGAATTAGGCTTCAATGCCCTTTGACATGAACAAGAGCTGAATGGGAAGCGGGAAAAACTGGACAAGTCTGCTGTATATACTGGCAAGCACAGGAACCAGGGCAGGGGGCGGGACTGGAGGGGGTTATTGTGGATCGCTCCTAATAGGCTGCAGCTCCCACTGGTTTGCTTGAGGGCTGAGTGTGCGGTGGGCAGGATCAGGCTGGACTGCAACAGAAACAGGACTGCTGGAAACAGAACTGACCCAGCAGTTGCAACCACAAACATATGCATAAGCTGATTAGAGCAACAGACTGTGCAAGACCCTGTACTGGCATGTACACACAAGAATCAGGTCTGGGATCACCACTGCTAATCTCAGAACCCCAACCATGAAGAGAAGTGCAGGTTCCATGGTTTGACCATGGAGTGCATGTGTCAAAGCTGAGCCTCTTCAGTGGCTAATAGCAGTGGACAGCATATCCAGGTGCACATGGAGAATATGACAGTCCATCAGAACCTGCAGAGGACACCTGGTACCACAACAGAGGACAGAGGACAGAACAAATCCATCTACCCCAGCCACGTGTAGGCAATGAAAATCTGGGCAAATGGAGACTCTAAAGCGGATTGTCAGTCAATGGATTCTGGAGAGATTTCATTGTACTTGGAATGGCAAGACTGGCAGCAATTCAGGACTGTTGAACTATCAAAACCACTTGAGCAGTGCCCTCAGAGTATGCTCCATATCGGGGACCTGGGATGGGTGGGAGGCTGGGTGGGCCTTCTCCCTTTATCTCCCCCCTACCTCAGACGCAGGAAAAAAAAAAAAGAATGTGAAGAATGTGGAAACAATGGTCTTACCCACTTTCCTGTAGCCTCTGACCCTTTGTGCCCTAATCAACTATGTAAAGATTATCAAAATAGTAATCAAAAAAGGAAGGAATTAAATAAGTGAATTAAAACAAAACAGTGAAAATAACCAGTATGAGTAGCAAGAAGGCTGTTACTTCTACTCACCTTCTTCAGCTGAGCTTCCATCCCGTCTACCAGCATGATGCAGGACACAATCGTGCCCAGGAAGAGAATAAAAGCATAGATGAGACGAGTCACAGTGGAGTTCTTACTGTTGGGACAGCAGCTACACAGCAAGCATGATGCGCCACTGCAGAGGCATGGGACCTGTGGCAAGCACAACAGATGCCATGAGATCTCCCTCCTGACCCAGCGGCGATGCAGCAGAGTTAAGGCAGCCCAGACAACTTTGAGCGAATGACACCGTTCAAAGTAGGCTCTGCAGTCAGTCTGATCCCTGCTACGTTACCTCAGCACTTACATAATTAACTCTAACCCTGCAAAATGGACTCAGTAATAAATAGAATTTGCTTTTCCTCAGTCTGTGCTGTTCAACACAGCGCCTAACACACACAGCCCAATAAGAGTCATATTCACATGAATATACATTGTTAAGGCAATGAAAAAAAAAATCAACTTTCACCCAATATTTACTGAGAATTGTAGTTAGCAAAGCTGCTATTATAGCATAAAGCAACATTACTAATTTTCTTATAATTAATGATTGGGAGAGCAATTTACCTCCCTCTAATATAACCTGAATGTTCTTCAAAAAGCAAAACACAGAATTATCATATGATCTAGCTATGTAACTCCTATGTTTACCATATACCAGCCACCTCAGCAATAAGTCAGTATTCTAACAAAACCCAAAGCATCAGTGCATGACTGTTCACAGCAGCACTATTTGCAATCTCCAAAAGTAGAGACAACCCAAGACAACCCATATGTCCATCAATTGGTAAGTCCACATGTTGTGAGCAAACTGTGGCATCTGCACCCAGTGGTTTTTTAGCACTCTGATGGAATGCCGTACTGTATCTAGAACAACTTAGACTTGAAAAACATCACACTAAGTAAAAGAAGCTCACCACAAAATGTCATATATATATATAAATGTCATTTATGAAGTATCAAAAACAGATAAATCTAGAGACAGAAGAGTTGGGGCTAGTGGTAGAGATGGGGGAGGAAGACCACAGAGAGTACAAGTGCTATGGGTAAGGGGGTTTTCTTTTAGAATGATTAAAGTGTTATGCAGTTAGATATACTGACAGCAAAACACTGAATGGACTGATACTTGATTACATATGTTCAAATGATTTATTTAATGTTGTGTACAAATTTTATAAAAAAAGAAACCTGGAACTCTGCTCAGCTAAAATCTGTTTAGCATCCTGGAGGAGAGAGGATATAATTTCAATGATTCTTAGATATGCTTGATTAGGAAATTTCTCAAATTCCTTTTAAAGAAAAAGGCTTATTTGAAAGGAAGAGTTGTAGTGAGAGGTTTCACGTGTATGCAAGAGAGAGATTTTCCATCAATTGGTTCACTCTCCAAATGGCCACAACAGCCAAGACTGGGCCAGGCAGAAGCCATGAGCCTGGAGCTCCATAACCATGTCTCTCACATGGGGAGCACAGACCGAAGTGCTTGGGTCATCCTCCACTGTCCTCCCAGGTGCATTAGCAGGAAGGCAAATTAGAGATGGAGCAACCAGGAACCAAACTGGCACCACAGGATGCTGGCCTCACAGGGGGAAGCTTTGACCACTGGACACCAACACCAGCCCCTTAACTTGCTTTCACAGGCAAGTTTTCAAGTCACATAACAAAAAAAGATCCAGATCAGATATACAGAGAGGAGGAGACAGAGGGGAAGATCTTCCATCTGCTGATTCATTCCCCAAGTGGCCACAATAGCCAGAGCTGAGCTGATCCAAAGCCAGGAGCCTCTTCCAGGTCTCCCATGCGGGTGCAGGATCCCAGGACTCTGGGCTGTCCTCCACTGCTTTCCCAGGCCACAAGCAGGGAGCTGGATGGGAAGTAGAGCCACCGGGACACAGACTGACACCCATATGGGATCCCAGTGCATTCAAGGCAAGGACTTTAACCATTAGGCTACTGCGCTGAACCCTACCTTAATTTTTTAGTTTGAGGTAAGCTGCTCAGAAGTCTAGTTTTCTCTCTCAAAAACAGACATTAGACCATCTATCCGGCCAGAGCTACTGTATGAAAAATGAGATGGTATCAGCAATATAAAACACCTAATATAATGTCTGACATGGACAGGGCTCAATACAACATAATAATCATTATTGCTTATATGTGCAACAGGTAGCAGAAACTGACCAGCAAGTAGTCCCCAATTCTTGACTACAGTTGAGCCAAAAGACCAAACTGGAAGTCTGTATCTGTAAATAGAAATTCAGATGTTTTCCAAACAATCATGATCAAGTTATTTTGTCTGCCTTCTCACACTCCTTGCTCTTGGTAGCTTTTTTTTTTTTTTCTCACTAATTCAAGTAATTCCACAGTAACTGCCTACTGCCTGTTATAGGTTAAACTGTGTCTCTTTTAATTCTAGCTGAATCGCCATCCCCAGTAACTCCTATCATGACTTCATGTAGAAACAGGATTGTCACAGATGTGATCAGTCAAGAAGAACCGCAGTGAAGCAGCGCCTTATCCTCATAAAATGAGGGAAACGGGTTCAGACCTGCAACACAGGGCACAAGGGCACAGGGCACACCCATGTGAAGGGGAACGGAGTGACCTACATGTCAGGGGTCAGCAAAGAGGACAGGCAGCAACAGATTCTTCACTATCCGCAGGAGCCAACCATAGCCTCAAGAATTGAGAGATGCAACTTCCTACTGTTTATCTCACGCAACCTGTGGGCTTAGTTTTACAGCTCTAACAAGCTAATATACCTACCCATTCTCTCTAACTGTGGAACAATAGACATACCTTAAGCAAGAAGCCACCTTTACAGTGTACTACTGCCTTTTGCACTTTACACAGTAGGTAAGCAGTAACCGTGTACCATTCCTGTTTTACTCTTCCCTTCTCTATTTCAGTAAAGCATAACTTTATTCCTTGATTGTTTGGATGAAAATCCTAAATCCTTCTGCATGTCTTCGCTTTCCCCAATCTGTCAACAGATCACGAATATCTGTAAACTGTATGCAGACTCTGACCATTTTCACAGCATCCCTGGCAACACTACCATCATCTGAATTAAACACAAGAGTTCAGGCTTCTGCCACAGTGGAGGCCTGAGGGATAGGGATGGCACTGGTGGGGTGCATGCGGGACCTGGGGGCCATGCCCAGGCAGGGTAGTGGAGTTGCAGGGAACCCCAAGTTAGCATGCTGGTATGGTGTGGCTGGGAAACTGTGAAATGTGCTTGGATCTTGGGTGGGCAGAGGGGTAGAGTCCCAGGCCAGCACATGAGCCAGGAGCCTGGTGCGTATTGGGCAGGCAGATCTCCAGGCTAGCACTCCACATCATGCCATTAAAGAGGAAAGTCTTTCAACTTGTGTGAGGATGGGGTTTAAGACAGGCCATTAAGAACAGGACTGGGGGTTGGCTGGCTGGGCTAAGCTCAATCACCCATCAGCATGAGCTGGAACTGGGGGCAGGTCAGGCCGGGCTAGGCTAGAACACCCACTGGTGAAAGCCAAGGTGAGGCAGGTCATGGCAGAATTAGACCACAGCACCCACCAGCACATGTAAGACCTGGAGTGGCAGGGGCAAGCCAGGTAGGGTGGCAGCAAGGACTCCCCTGTTGGGCCACCACTTCTGCTGGTAAGCGTGAGAAATGGGACCAGGGCAGACCAGGTTGGACAGGCTACAATACCTGTTGGCCTGCACGTGAGCTGGTTTAGGGAGACAGCCAGGCTTGGCTAATCGACTGCATTCATTGGTGCATGCATAAGCCGAAGTAAGTGGAGGATTTTGCTGCAGCTTCAGCTGGCAAGTGAATGGGGCAAGTCCTGTCAAGCTAGACTGCAGAACCACCTGGAAAGTACAAGATGTGGGATTGGGAGTGGACCTGTTAAGGAAACTGTGGACACCTCTCTGATGAGGTGCAGCTCCCACCAGTAGGCATGAGAACCAGGGCTGGACAGGTGGTAACACCCACTAGCATTAAGTGTGGGCTGCATAGTGGAGTCAGCTGGGCTCCACTGGTGTGTAGGATGCAGCTAGGATGCAGCACCCACTGGTGTGCACATAAAAGCTGAATGGGATGCAGGACAGACTGTACCAGTCTGTAGTCTGCAGCACATACCGGCATGTGTAGGAAACAGGACTGGGGACAGACCTGATAGGAGTTACTGGGGGGTCACTCCCACCAAGCTGCCATTCCCAGAGAACAGCTCCAGCTAAGTTCAGAGCTCACAGAAGATGTGTGGAGTTAGCGTTTTTAAAAGAGATAAAGAGAAAAGATGGACCACTATAATTCCATGATTATAATGGACAATGCAAGAAAGCTGTCCCCTTTATTTACATAGAAGAATTCAAAAGCTTTTGCATACTTTTTACTTCATGGTAAAATGGGTGTTTCACCTTAAAGCAGGGTGTTATCCATTCTGACCTTGCAGCCAGGAATTCCTCAGCTGGCAGCACATGTTAATCAGTAATACAGTCAGTACATTTTTTGTTCTATAACTTATCAGCTAAAGGAGAAAATATATCACAGAGGGAAAAACATAAAGATCTTAAATAAACTTTAAACATAAATTCCCACTACAACCATGGGCTTAACAAGGCCTTAATTAGTTTGAAAGCATGTGTTACAATGTTAGTACAAACATCCTTGAGCTTTTTCAGCCAAAGGGTCATGGGAGCGGCCAAGACAACATAAATAGTTAAAGACCCACTCACCAAGATGTTGTTAATGACATTAGTTCCGAAGCTCACATCAGTTACAGAGAACATCTCACAAGGGCAAACAACAATGCATCAGCACATCTCAGGGATAGCGGAGTGTTCACGAAACTGCATTGAAATAGCTGGAGGCTCTACAGCCAAACCACCCTGAACACGCCCGATCTCGTCTGAAATAGCTGGAGGGATGTCGCTTTCCTGCAGCGATGGACTTGGTGCACAGAGTCCATAACAACATGCGGGGACTCTGACTGATGGTCAAAAGTTTATTAGTGGCATCAGACTTTATACACTGAGGGTCATATAGAATAAGGGAGGAGGTATTGAGCTTATCAACAAAACCCATCAACTGTTTCTATACTTTTGTTTGGAACTCCTTTTTGTTTTGTATATTCCACCAAGTGTCCTCATTCACATGCTGTCCACTCAACTGTTCTCATACAAATGATATCCATTTAGTTACAGAATGGTACACACTCAGTTGTTCTCATACAAATGACATCCAATCAGTTATACAAAAGGTATCCATTCAGTTGTTCTCATACAAATATTGTCCAATCAATTGTAATCCTGTGCTCGCTGACCTTCTAGGTTCAAAATGTCCTTCTACAGAGGGACATTTACCAGGCCTTGCCATACAACTGGAGCACCGCTCTCTTAGCACCTTTGTGTGCCCCAATGACAAAAAAGCTGGGAGGCCTAGGCTCCCAGCAGAGTGAGTGGTGGGCAGGGTTGGGTTGGGCCGCAGCATCCATTGGTTTGTGTAAGAGATGGGGCTGGGGACAGAAATGACCAATTGACTGCAACCACCAGTGTGTGTGTAAGCTGATCTGGATGACAGACTGAGCCAGGCCCCACACTGGGCTAGCACACACAGGAGTCGGGTCTGGGGTCACCTCAGACAAGATTTCTTTGGGGATCCCTGCAACTGAACCACTGAACTCAGAACTCCAACCACAGGGAGAATCGCAGAATCTGTGGTCTGACCATGTAGTACATGTGTCAGAACTGGGCAGCCTCAGTTGCTCAGGCAGTGCAGCAGACAGTAGACAGCATGCCCAGATGCACATAAGGTTTATGGCAGTCCACTGAGGCCTACAGAGGACATCTAGTACCACAGCAGAGGATGGAGTGCAGAACAAACTGGACAAATCTCTCAGTGTAGAGTTGAAATTAAAACGGAGTAGACATGGTTCATTGCTAACTGCAATCCTTTTTATACTTTTTGCTTTTGCACCTTCCACTTTGCTTGCTTGGTTATGAAACTGTGAGACTGTACAAGCTTGTAGGCCGAACCATCTGCGTGACCTTTAGCACAGATGGTTCTCAATTCCCAGGAATCAAGGCCTGAGTCCGGTTATCTCACAGGTGGCTCCAAGGCCTCCAAGGCCACAGGCTGTCCAGCCGAGATAAGTAGGGAATGCAGCCTTCCCTCCCTTGCTATACCATACAAGCCATTGTAAAATGCCCCTGCAAAAACTCTGTATGTATATATATATATATATATATATATACACACACACATATATATATGCTTCCAACTTATGTAAAACAAATATTGTCACAATCTTTATTATTATTATTATTATTGGAAAGGCAGATATGCAGAGAGGAAGACTTTCCATCTGATCATTCACTCCCCAAGTGGCTGCAAAGGCCAGAGCTGAGTCAATCCAAAGCCAGGAGCCCTGAGCCTCTTCCAGGTCTCCCAGCAGGTGCAGGGTCCCAAGACTCAGGGCCACCCTAGACTGCTTTCCCAGGCCACAAGCAGGGATGGGAAGCGGGGCTGTCAGGATTAGAACTGGCGCCCATATGGGATCCCATCCCAGCACGTTGAAGGCCTCCCCTCCTCCTCCCCCGCCTCCACTCACCAGGGCCCTATCACAATCTTATCTCCTAAAAACACAATTGCTTTTCTGAAAGAAACCTACTGATCTTCCCAAGGAAGCCTCTTTATACTCCCACTTTCCTCCTACTAAATTAGGGACATAAGTTCTGAATTGTAGTGACCCTGTGGGACACCCATCACTGAGTAACCCTACAGCCAAGTGTCTATGTGTCTTAACCAAGCGAAGATTCCCTCTGGCTAATTTTTGTGCGAGTTTAATTTGCAGGACCTCAGAAACTGAATCCAAGAAGACAGAGGAAAACATTTTGCCCTGCACCCATGTGGGAGACCCACAAGAGGCTACAGGCTTCTGACTCCTGGCTTCGGATCAGCTCAGCTCCAGCCACTATGGCCACTTGGGGAGTGAATCATGGAATGAAAAAATATTCCTCTCTATTCTCCTCTTCTCTGTATATCTGACTTTCCAATAAAAATAAAATAAATCTTAAAAAAAGAGAGACACCACATAGTGAATATTCACATCACTTAACTACCAGCTACTTTTCTGATTTCATTTCCTGTTATTCTTCCTTCATTCCAGACTCTGTTACACTGCATTCCTTGCTGTTCCCAATGAATAAAAGGGATAATACAAAAAGCAGTTTCTAGCTACAAATGCTCAGACTACATCAATTCACAACTCAGCTTAAAATCAGTCAAAATGTAATTCAGATTATCAATGTAGGAAAGATATACTTATTTCAAATTACATTTGTTTTCTACCTTCTTAACTATGTATTTTTAAAATCTATTTTGTAGACTGCGTCTTGACCCACTAAGATTGGAAATATCAAGTGATAAAATGACCAAAAACTTTACAGTCTGATAAAGAAAAACTGCAATAGAATGTAAAGGTAAGAATTATTTCATTGGGCTTCAGGTCTAAATGGCTGCATTAGCTAACTTTGTGAAATGGATTTCTTACTTTAGGTCAAGACCAAAAAAATTGGACCACCACTGCTCAGGGAATACCTAAATGACAATTTAACAATCTTAAAGGGTAGGAAATGTATTATGTCCCAAAGAAGCATCAGTGCATGAATTTTTGGTTAGTTATGCCAGAGGGAAGAGATCAGAAAGCAATTATGAAGAGACTTCACAGAATCACACTGCTCTGAAGCAGGTAGAGGGAGAAAGGCAATGCAGTCTCTTTCATGGAGCCTAAATTAGCAAAGCGCTTAATTTATTCACTATCCACACAGATGCTGGGATAAAAGTGAGAAGGAAGCCCAACTCTCCATCACAGGATGGACTCAGAACCACAGCAGAAGCTGAGAGTGAGGCCTTTACTGACTTGCTGGTCTCAAGAGCAGTGTGGCCAGTCGGCAGCACCCTGAGAAATTTCACATCTTCTGAGGGCTGGCATTGTGGTGAGGTGGGTAAAGCCACTGCCTGTAACGCCAGCATCCCACGTGGAAGCCAGTCAGTATCGGGACTGCTCCACTCCCAATCCAGTTCTGATGGCGTGGGAAAGCAGCACAATGGCCCAAATGTCTGGGCCCCAGATACCCACCCACGTGGGAGACTTAGATGAAGTGCCTGGCATCCTGGCCCAGTGCTGCCATTGCGGCCATCTGGGGAGTGAATCAACAGATGGAAGACCTCTGCTTTCTCTGTAGTTCTTCAAAATAAGTAAATAGTGGGAAGGGAAGAGCAACATGTGAGGCACAACCTAGACATGATGGTGCCTAAAGTGGGTACCCAAGCCTGCTCCTGGGCAGGGAGAGGGAAGAAAGGAAGTCACAATGTGAGCATAGCAAGACTGGTGCAATTCCAGGAGTGACACACCCCAGCACTCAGAACAAAGGTTCCGTGGTTACAGATTACAGAACTACTCAAGGATACAAAGATAACAAGCAGGCAAAGTTCATGAAGCAAGCTCAGCAGTGGCCCCTCTCTGGGGTCTTTGGGATTTCCTAACCTGGGTGCTACCCAGTCTGTTATGGTCCACACTAAGACTAATCTGTCTGCCAAAAAAGCTCCACTGGGTCATTTCTCACATAAAGGTCCCCAGATGTGCAACCCACAGCTCCCCAGTTCTGAATCCTAACCCACAAGACCTTCTTCCCTAGCATCGAGACGGCAGTGTGCCCTCCTTTGCAATTCCACCTCCACCACACACCGTGTAATTCTGGCAAATCCTGGAGCTGCGGGAAGTCATGCAAAACAACCAAAATCAAATGACGCCACACAAGGGGGGGGGGGTGATTGATGGGGGGAACTTCAAAATGAGCCAAACAATCCCGCCCCAAGAGCTGTCATTCCTCCGTCCCACCCCAGCTAGAGGAAGCTGGCGTCAGGAAGGTTCGCGGGGGCGGGGCAATCGGAATTGTAAACAATGGCCGCCTGGCTCCAGAGGTTTCTCCTCTAACCCGGAAGGCGAGCCGCCGGATCCCGACCGGGGCACCGCGGATGGAGACCCAGTCCCACCCCCACGCCGAGAAGTTCGAGGCCCGGGGCCGGCGCATCACCCTCGGGACCGAGAGAGGTTCCGAGCTGAGTTCGGGGTCTCCCTAAACTCCGCCAGGACACAACTCACCCAGCTGGCGAGGGAGCAGACGCCCAGCACAGCCCCCATGGTGACGCCGGTGTTTGGAGGTGACCTGTCCGCAGGCTTCTGGTGCGGTGATGGTAACCGCCAGCTGAGGCGTCGCCCCAGAAACGCGACGGTTTCTCAGGCCGGAAGTACGGCCCACCCCTCACGTCACTGCGCGGCCCCGCCCGCTCCCCACCCCCGCGCAGGACACCCGCCATTGGCCGCCGAGGGAGAAGGCGGGCTGCTCCGCTGTGTTGTATTCACTGGGAGCCCAATCTATGCAAAGATCTAGGAGGTGCGCTGGAGACCCAGGGTGTGTTCTCCCAGATTTTCAGATCCAGTTAGGAGAGGACATAAATACACCCTATTGTCGTGAGATGTTATAGGGTATTATCATTTCTTTTTAAACGTTTTATCGCTGAGTTGCTTTAAGTGTTGTTTGTTTGTTTGTTTAAAAAATAGATATAAAGAGAGGAGGAGAAACAGAGAGGAAGATCTGTCCTCTGGTTTACTCCCCAAGTGGCTCTGAGCCTCTTCCGGGTCTGCCACACGGGTGCAGGGTCCCAAGGCTTTGGGACATCCTTGACTGCTTTCCCAGGCCACAAGCTGGGAGCTGGATTGTGAAGAACCTGGGTTCTCTGCTTGTGTGATTTCTGCCTTAATTGCTTGGCTGGGGGCTGTGTGAACTCCAGGCCTGGCAGCCTACGTGACACCCGGCAGGACACCTGGCAGGTCACGTAGGCAGACCACTCCTCAGGAAGGCGGTCCCTGGTGTTTAATAAGATTTACCGCCCTATAGCCCATCAATTTGTAGCTTTTGAAAATCGCTCGCTTCATACCTACCAATAGAAGCCTGCCAACTGCTCTTTTTGAAAGTTAACAGTTAAAACTGACCAATCATGACTGTATAATTATATGGAATTGTTCTGAAATGTTTAAGAACCCTGTACTGTTCAACCTCAGCTCTTCTCTTTTTTTTTTCCTGTCCAGCTGTTCCTGCTGCAACCTTGGCAGTGCTGCTGGGCTGGGGGAGGTGACTGGGAGACCTAGGTTAACCTGAATAAACTGCCCTTTATGCCTTAGCACCGACTTCAGACTCTATGATTTTCTGGGGATCTCAGAAATCCGGCACAACATTGGGAAGCGGAGCTGCCGGGATTAGAACCAGCACCCATATGAGATCCCAGCTCATGCTAGATAAAGACATAGCTACTAGGCTACTGAGCCAGGACCAGAGTATTCTCAATAAAAATATAGTTAGTGCCTACTGTATAGGGAGAAAGCAACTTACTTGGGGAATAGTCTTGGTGGGCTTTTACGTGGAATGTAGATTAAATCTAAGAAGCAAAGGATGAGTCCTGATTAGCCAAAGAAAGGCAGCCATTGTTCTTGCTGAAATGCAGTGTACATACCATTTGTGCTGAATCAAGGAACTCAAGGATGCAAGAACAAGACATTAAGTAACTTAGGCCCTCTAACAGTTGTCTATTTCCTTTGGAAAAGAGTGAGAGAGAGACAGAAAAATAAATATCTGGGGCCAGCTCTGTGATGCAATGGATTTAGTAATCTGTCACATGCAATGCTGGTATCCCATATGAGCAGCAGTTTGAGTCCTGGTTATTCCAATTCTGATCTAGCTTCCTGTTAAAGCCTCTGAGAAAGCAGCAGAAGATGACCAAAGTGCCTGGGCCATGCCACTCACTTGGGCGACTGGGCTGGAGCTCCAGGCTTCCTTAGGGTGGCAGCCATTTGGGGAATAAGCCAGTGGGTAGAAACACTGCCCCTCCTCTCTCTCTCTTTCTCTGTCATATACACACATTGCAACTCTACCTTTAAAATTGAGAGTTTGTTTTTTTTAAACCTGGAAAGTTTACCAGTTGGTAAAAGTAGGAAACAAGTTGGGGAAGTAACAATACAACAAAAATTACGGAAATGTTATTCAGATAATTAACAGAAAACATTTACCCAAGAATAGAAGTTGCTGTAGTTTGGGGAAGCTTTAGAAATACTCTCTTAACTAGGAGGGACAGAAAGAAAGATCTTCCATCTGTTGGTTCACACCCCAAGTGGCTGCAATGGCTGGAGGTGAGCATCTCTGAAGCCAGGAGCCAGGAACTTGCTCCAGGTCTCCCATGTGGGTGCAGAGTCCCACTGGCTTTGGGCCATTCTCTACTGCTTTCCCAGGCCACAAGTAGGAAGCTGGACAGAAAGTGGAACAAACAGAACACAAACTGAGCCCATATGGGATCCCAGGCTAGGATTTAGCTACTGAGCCATTGCACTGGGCCCGAGGGGGAATTTTTTTTTTTTTTTTCAGCATTGAATCCTTTTTGTGGCTCCAATGTGGTTTTGTTTCTGTTTAGTTATAACGACACAGCTGACTGGAACTTACGTTTACCCTGTGATTACTGCTTGTGTTCTGAACAGGGGGTCTAGCTGCCAGCTGGACAGGTTTTCCTTTTCTCCCCTGCAAACATTTCATCCCCATATGTAGGATCTCCCCCACCTGTTGGTGTTTCTGGCTTCAAGGGTTATCCGTGTCTGTCTTATATTTGTCTTTTCTTTGTTGTTTTCACTAAAATAGCTAAGAGAAGCTTCTTTGGGAAAGAAAAGGCTTATTTCAGCTTAAAGTTTGTAGAATCCAGTTCAGGACTGGGCAGCTCTGAAGTTTAGCATCAGTGGAGGCTGGTAAAGCTCAGAGAGAAGACCTTGATTGGACTTGAACTCAAAATAATAATCCTCTTTGGAGAACTACCCTCCAGGGGTACACAGCTGACCTACACACCTCTCACCAGAACTGAGAGAGGAGTTAGAGTGGGTAGTAGGCAGTTAGGGTATTCTGGGTCCCTGAGTAAAAGAGAATTTCTCCACCATGTCTTGAACTCACCAGGGCACGTCTCTTCCAAGGGACAGTGGTGCTATTAGCATATCAATTCCCCACCTGAAGTATCGGCCATTACCTCGGCTATTGTGGGAGGGCCTCAGGCTGATCTCTTTATCATTGAAAGGAGTAATACACATCTGCCTAAGGCCTGGAATGTCCTATGTCTGGTATCTCTGTGACCTTTTGTCCCAAGGCCAGGTACCTTGGAAATCAGGAACTTTCTTTGTTTATGGAGAAACATCTTTGAGGGAAACCTTTAAAAGGTGCATTCCCCACCATTAATACGGGTTTTACTTCTTTGCCCCCTGCCACTATGGCAGAGGACTAGGGTTTTGCTTCTCATTTTCCTGCCACTATGGCAGAGCACTGAGGTCCTTTTCCTCCTGCCACTATGGCAGGAGGTAAGGGTTCTTTCTATCTCAAAGCCCCCTCCCGTCACTAGGACGGGAGTCTTCTCTTCTCAACTTTCCTAATAAATCTTGTGTTAAAACTAAACTGTGTCCGCATGAAAATTCTTCTTTCCTGCGAGACAAGAATTTGAGGTTGCTGCCATACTCGGAGTCAAAATTCCTGCAACAGTTTTGGTGCCGTGTGACTCGGATTCTACCAGCGAGACTTGAGTTCATCTCCAGCCAGCCTCCAGACATCCATCTCGTCGGATGGTGAGCAAAGCGGACTCTATCCTGTTTTTCGGAGACACTAGCTCTCCACAATTAGTAACTCTCGGAAAAAGAAACACCGGGTCCCTGTCAGCCAGTTAAATGCGTCTAGCGCGGCTGCCGGTCTTAAGACTCAGGGGCGAGGCTTGCTGAGTTTGGCTAAATTGATCCCCTGGAGCTGGGGTCCTTGGCTCCAGGAATGTCGGTTTTGTCCAGACTCAGTTTCTTTTCGCGGACTAAGCCCGTCGCGTGAGACTGGGAGAAGTCTAAGGGCGCCTCAGAAATTCTGGTCAGGGCCACTCCCTGATGCTTTTCGAAAGGCCTCTGGACTGTACCCCAGACTCCGACAGCCCGTCAGGGTGTCGGGCTGAAATCTGCACTCTTTTCTTCCTTCTGCGGGGACTCAGTCGTCACCAGGCGAGGCCAGGAGCCCTGGGCTGCGTGCCTCAATTCCTAAATAGCCTCAGGCACTGTCGAGTCCTTTGCTACCTTTTCTGATATCTTCTCCAGAAGCTTTTTCTCACTAAGCCTCCTCATTCTCTATGGATTCAGTTTTTGGGTTTTCTTTTACTGGTCAGTATGTGCTAAATACCAGCTGGTCTGTGATGGGGAAAAGGAAAAGTCAGGCAGAGTTTCTTTCTAGGCCCCTCTAAAGATGAGATCTAAGATAAACTTAACTGGAGAGTGCTTTAATTCCTTCACAAGGCAGTCAGCAGAGACAGTTCCTCCAGGTCAGCTCTTAACGAGTGTAGTCGCTAATGTGAGCAGAAAGCCAGAGTCAACACATGTACTCCTCCAGCTCTAGTTAAGGACATTGTTACACAGCCTTATAGAATCAGGCCGAAGTTTGAGGTCAGGCTTGTCAGCTCAAGGTTAGAATGAATTTCAAAAGGAGAGCATATTTTGTCCGGCAGAAGTCCCAGATGCAGCAGGGTGCAGTTTGGCACATGCTGTTTCTGACTTATATGTTCTCCAGGACATCAGAGTATTGCACCAGGCAGAGGTCTAGGTCTAGCATGGCGCAGGAAACGGGAGCGGATTTTTCACTCCTGGCACATGCTGTTCTAACCGAGACATCCCACAAGGCGTGGAAGGTCGAGCGACGTGAGTCAAGTGTGCTGACTTCACTCCCACCTTCCTCCCTTCTTCTGTGGTCTTCAGCAGTGCACACCTGGACACCACGGGCGAGCTATAGGAGTCCTAAGAGACGTCTTAGACTCGGGAGAGATAGAAACTGAGGGACGCTTCTAGTTTCTATCCTCATTTCAGTGCTCCCAGCACATGCTATTCTGACAAGTATGTCCAGGTGCAAAACCAGGATTTACTTGTACTGGCAGGAGTCCCAGAGTTAGCATGTCACAGGAATGGGGGGCTGAACGGAGATACCCCTTGGGGTGCCTCCGCAATTACAGGGATGCCACAGCCTCGCTGCCAGCTTTGAGCTTTAGAGTGGAGAGAGTTAGTCTGGATGGGTCTCTTTGCATAACTATGCTGCTGTGCTGTGCTGGCTCCACCGCCATGTGGAGCACACAACTGTCTTTTACCTTGGTCCTTCCCTGTTCTGTTTTTTGCTTTAATTGTCTAGTTTTAGGCTTAA